GCGAACAGGGGCTAGGATCACAGGCTGGAGGATCATGCTGCAAAGAGGTGGCAGCACTACTGTTTTACTTCCTCAAGCGGGCAAAACAACAGCTAAAGCGTACATGTAAACCCCGCTACAGCCTTTAAACTCTTATATAATCTAGCTAGCTAGACAGGAAGCCAGGGGCCTCCCCCCCCTGGCGTCTTTTGCCCCAACGGGGACTGAAGGGCACGTGACTTGCGTACGTGCCCGCCTAGACGTTAAATAGACACACACACACACACAGTACATGTTTCTGGGAAGCAGATGAATCGGGACATATGATAGTTACATTGGACTAGATTGGATTATGAACCGTTTTACGCTCTCAAAAAAAAAAACCCCTTTTCCCGATCAAGCGTCCATCAAGTTCCGATACCTTTGTTGGAAAGAATGTTAACCTTCCTCAAATTTCCATACGTCAGTTGTTAGAGCCTTTGTGTCCCCGTTATAAAACTTGACATGAGTGAAAATTTCCAAGCTTCCAAATGGATCATCGATAAATTGGATACCGACCGTCATGTGATCAATAACTTATCGTTTCCAGAGCTAAGCTATTTGCAGATTATTTTTAATTACCGATGTTACGTAAAGTTAAAGTACCTAAGTTATTAATTTTTCCAGCAGAGAGGGAGTAAAACGTAGAGGATTTCGGCACACGGGAATTTCCCGGCAGGGTACGCTCAGCCACAAGCGTCGCAGCCACAGATTTTATTATATAGTTTTACCAAGAATACTATAACTACACCGCCGCTGACCAGGATCCATGATCGCTTAATTGGAGGAGGTATCATCTATTGTAGCGACGTCGTGTCATAGGCCACGCCCTAGCCCCCACAAGAGCGGCAATAGCATTTTAGTATTATAGTAGAATCTAGATATCCACATTCAATTAATCTATGTGATTAAAAGGCGAAAAAAACTCGATAGCGGTGTCGCACATCAAGGGGTCTTATTACAGTGTAAAATGAGGCCCTCCGTAAATTCAAGGTGCGGCGACGACGCAATAATAATTTTCGGAATTGATAGGCTCTGAGTGTTCAGGGGAGGTATATAATGTAACTGAAATGAAAATAGATAGAAATTTTAGAGCGTTCATAGATTTTATAACGCTTGAACTCGAAGTACCTACGATTTGTCTCGGCACATAGGGTGTCTCGCTACGCAGGGAGGGACGTTACCCAATGCTCTCTCAACCCAATATGTTCTCATATGTTAAGGTCCGAAATGGTTTGCGGCATATAAAACAGGTCATTGTTGAAGGAAGAGTTACATTTTGCACTTGGAAATGATTATAAAAATGTTCCGTGAAAGGATTTTGTGAAGTAAGCTCAGCGAACGAGAATTGTTTTTCACAGCCGGGGAAATAGCAAGGAACCAACTCAACGGTTTGGATCGTCATTTTTTGCTCCCATCACCTGGGTTCCCCGTCGATATATTTATATTCGTCGTCTTACAGAAAGAAAGAGATGATGGGAGCACTGCGTGATATAAGTAAAGCGGCGAGTGCCCCACCATCTGACCGACCCTGCCGATGCTACCTGCTTTTCTTCTGCGGTTTATCTGGCCCAGAAACACCTCTCTGCCTCTTCTTATTTTTACCTAAAAAACCAACACTTCCCAATATATTATCACACTCCGGATCGCTTGACCCCCATAAAGCGCTCTGATCTTCTTCGCTTGATTTGTCTCGATCATCTTCTTTTTTGTCGTCCTTTTCCTCTTCTGGTGGACTACAGAGGCCTCGGGCAAGTGTATATCCCTTGGGAGAAAGAGAATGACAATCAAAAAAAGGAACCTGGAGCTGGGTGAAGTCTGTGAATTGCATGCTCTTGCAAGCCGGAATCCTGCAAACCGTTGGATTCTCCCATTTCTTCTCATGAAAGTCCAGATGTCTATTAAATGTTCCAATGTCAATGAATTGTGTAAAACGTTTCGAAGCCGGCTTGGATTCATCTCCTATGCAGAGCGGGCACTGTATGCCAGCTATGATTGTGCCTGAGGCGGTCTTTTCCAGCTTGCAGCTTTTGGGCGCTTTTTCCAAGTGCAGTTCGCAGTGATTCTCCCAATTGATTTCATCGAGAAACCATCCACAAGCTGGGTGCTGAAAACAGAATTGTGGTATGAATGCAGCTTGTTTAATATCGACTCGGTGTGTAGAGAAAAGATGTCGTTGCAAATCGATCTCTGAGTCACACCAAAGATTGCACTCCTGCCACTGACATCGCGTTGCGTCTTTAAGGTGTTTTCGTAAGTGATTAGACACTGACTTACGTGTCCGTGGAAGGGATGAAAGTTTGGGTTGGCCTCTACGCCTCTGATCACAAAGCTTCTTTGATTCATGTGCTCTTGCAATTTCTCTTTCCAATGAATTGGATATATCGTTTGCAAACCCCGGTGGTAGAAATCCTTTCTGGGTGCTGAGGTCATTTTGGCAATCTTCCCACAGGCATGTAGAGGGAGTCCCCTGAATGAATTCCTGGCAAATATTCTGTTTATGACGTTTAAAGAAGCAGCGGTGGATATGCGACGCTCGATTTAGGTAATGTATTGTATCTATTCCGATGTCGCATACAGGGCAGCAACCATTGCTCGGTGATTCTCCAGGGTAATATGTAGTAAAAGATTCGGGTTTGCTGATGAAACAAAGGTTTTCTAGTAGCTTGATATCTCTGTCCGTTCGAACTAGACTCCCCCACTGTGCTTGGGCAATAGCATGTTGCTGTGGGAAATAATCTGCCGAAATGAATTGGAATTCCTTTGGCTGATCGAACTCGTGTTCTGATACAGGTTTAAGTCCTAGCTCTCTGTTCTTGATTTGTTCTTGCACCTCTGATATGTCTGCCTGCTGGAATGAACGCGACCTACGGTCTCTTTCTGTTTTGTTTTGAAGGCGCCTGTAACGATTTTTACGCTGAGCTGTTGCTTTTGTGTATGACTCATTAAGTTCTAGTAAGTCGACCGCACCGGGAGGTGGCGACTCCAGGAGCGTCGTTTTGATGGCCTCTTCGTCTGCCAAAGCCTGAGAATATTCTGGGTTGTTCATAATTGACTGGTTGTCATCGGTTGTAAGGTTGATGACGGAGGCGTAAAGGTTCAAGTTAAGACTCATCCCACGTAACTGTTGTATATGGTCCTTCCGTTGCGTTTGATTGTTGAGAATACTTTGCCCATCGATTCCTGATATGTTCGAAATATAAAAAGCACCCATGACCTTTGTAGAGTGTCCTAATAATTGACTATACTCATTTGTGCTAATAGAAACATCTCCTATAAAAAAATTAGAGCTGTTACTCAAGAACATTGTTAAACTTGCCGTTCAGTGCATTTGCGGTTCCCCGGCGTAGATTGTAAGTCCTCGAACGATCTCGAAAACCTAATCGGCAACCAAGATCTCCAAGGTAACGAGCAAGCTTGTTATAAGTCATTGGTTTGCTATGTATGACTCCATTTGTTGTGCAGTTCCGGAAAATAAGGAGATCCTTCTTCGTGTCCGTGAAGGGAAAGGTTATACTGTGTTTGTGTGACGGAACATACAAATCCCTGAGATCGCTTGGTTTCTCAAGCGATATAAAGACGTTATCTGCAAAAGCTAATCCCAGAAAGTGGGCAATAGGGCATCTGCCTGGGCATTCGACGTCTTCATGAAAAGTCACCCATTTTTGCCCTTTCGACTCGTCATTTCGTTTTCCCTTCTCGTATCGAAAGAGAACCTTTAATAGGAGTTTCATCCCGCCTGTTTGACTTCTTACACCGATCAGCTCAAAGTCCTAGTTAGGTTAGCGCTGAAAATTTCCAATGGATTCAAATCATGTCTTACCTTGTAACAAAGAGCCTCGTAGCTACCTGTATATGCCGAGGATTCAACGATCGCACCAGCTCTCGAGCCAGTGTATATTATTAATAATAATATAAAACTTAATTGTAGTCTCTCACGCGGATGTGAGAATTGATAGGTGTCAAAGCACCAAAGAAACTGTAGTAGCGCAGTAACATCTAGCTGATCGGCGAGGTATTTCTGTCGACGAACAAGAGTGAGGCCTTCGTCTCGCAAGACTGTTTTGATGTACTAAATCTCTTGTTAGAAAGGTACCTTGATATTATAATAACCAACTCACCATACGGACGCCGTCTGCTGTTTCTTGAGGTATCACATTGAATGTTGCTCTTTGGTAAGCGGACCGGAAAAGACCCCATGCGTTGAGTAAAGACTTCAACGTGATATTGGCTTCTAGTAACCCTACTGATGTTTTAAAGAAACATTCCATGAACAACTTTAGTCGACCGATTTTAGGAAGTTCTTCTTTTTCTCGTAGACATGAACTACTGTCCTTAAATCTGTCAAAATGGTATATGGCTGTCGTTAGCTCGCATCTTTCTGGTTTTTTGGTGCACGCACTCTTTCCATAACTCCAACAAGCGTTTATACTGGGTCTGTGTAGGGCTGACAATTGGGTTGAAATGTTGAGTTTTTGATAATTGTTGTTCTCGTTCCTCTTCGAGGTCATAATTCAAGTCTATTCCGCGACGACGACCTCTTCGAATTGACATAATGAAAAGTAATTTGGAAGGGTAATTTTAGTGAAAAAAGGATTGTTGGTGAAAATGTTAGTGGAAAGGTAATGTTAGAGAAAATGTAGAAGGAGAGTGAGTGAAGACGCACGTGACACGCTGGCGGCAGGCGGCTTCTGGGCCTCTAGGGGAGGGCACGCTCGCGGTTACGCTTGTGCTAGGCAGCTTCCAGGTACGAGGGCACGCTGGCGCTGGGCGGCTTTCAGGCTTGGGGGCTTTCAGGCTTGGCATCGGCGGTAACCGGAATGAGGTATCGCCGGTAACTGGAATGAGGTATCGCCGGTAACTGGAATGAGGTGTCGCCGCCAGTAACAAGGACCTGAGGCCTGATTTTCGCTAGGAAGCCAACGTAGTCAGGGCGCAAAGAAATTGCCCAATTCTCCTCAGTCTATGGTCGTATGTGGCAGCTTGCGGCGTAATAGGGGATATATATGTGGATGGTTGGGGAAGTACAGTATGGTGGGGCTGGTATGGGAAAGGGATTTTGGTAGGGGGTGTCAGGTGTCTAGATTGAAGACTTGGTAGGATGGAGAGAAGTTTAGTCTAGTTGGAATTGTTGGTTGAATGGGAATAATGTATGACCTGGTTTTATTTATTGGGTTTGTTGTGTGCATCGATGTTTATCTCTGGGCTTTACAAGCTTGGGCTATTGTAACGTTGACTAGCTTATTGTGTTACGATTAACTAGTTCCAGCTTGATACTCTCTTCGCGTATATCTTTCTGGCCTATTTGTTCAGTGGCTACAGTATTTGACACTAGCAAAGAATACCCTAGGCCATGTTTTATCTTACAGGTTATGGACGTACTAAGCCTATATAAACATGCCCCCCAACGATGAGGCGAACAGGAACCACAGACACGTTGCCATTCAGTGCCTTCATTGTAGCTCTGAATGGCGTTCCTCTGTTTTAAAAGAAAAATCAATTCTTGCTTAATTCACTTCCTCTTACGCAAGGACGGAAAATCAACTTGCAATTTCTTTCGCATCAACACGCATTGCTCAAAGACGAAATACCGTCAGCGAAGAAATCACATTTCCCAGGTTGAGATTACATAGAAGAGGCATTTTTGACTCTCTTTCTAAACGCCGCCTTCCCGATCGAATGATTTTCGATGGATTCAACCTTCATGAACTCTACTGTCAAGACATTATCTCTGCAGGTTCCTGGGAGGTTATGTACCACTTCTGGATCTTAAGTGATCTAAGAACCATGGAGACATGGATGGTTCCTTTCCAGAGCATGATACTAATCGTTCATAGGCGGAAGTAATTGACAACAGTGACAAGCACAAATATGTCACAATGGATGATAGGCCCGACACATTGAGTCAAGGTTTGACTGAAGCAAGAATTAGAGAAGATGAAGAATAGAAGACGTGATACATCCTCGCTGTTGAAAATGCGAGAAGTTTTCAATAAAGCCCAGTATCTTGAACCACTCCTTTGACAAAAGCCCCGTCGGTATCGACCAATCCCATGCATGGGAACTGGGCAACAATCAGAGGCAGAACTCAAGGTAACTTTGATCAGAAGCTTGAGATTGGTACACAACGCAAGATGCGAAAGGCTCTGCGATTTTCGTACTCAACTTGCGTCAGATATATAGCACTTCCTCTCATACTTATCGAATCGTATTTCAGTCCTGGGAAAGTTGTCTATCATATTTTATATTTTGTACAGCTCTTACTTCGTGAGGACAAAAAAGAATTTTACAGCAAGAATTCTGAGTGTATTCCACCAAGGAGACGACAGGTTCCGATATAACATGACACAGATGCTGCAATCTGGAGTGCGAGAGAATCCTAACCATAAATCGAATCGGAATATGCATGAGAAGATTCCTTGTGGATATAGGTCACACTATCGTTACAAGCCAAAGATTGATTCGTAGATATATTAGGAGGATTCGTCAGGAGGCGTGGATGAAGGCTGGAATTTGACATTTTACAGTATTATCCATTCCAGACAGGAAAGTGCCAAAAGAAACGTGCACTCCTAAGTGGAGTCATGTTTACTTCTGTGTCATTTTCTCCATAAATTAAAGTCGTTTCCGACCAGGTCGCGTTTCCAAGCATTTGAGCCTCAATTCGACCCATTTATTGTATCCACCTACCTACATCCACTTTGCGTGCACGTTCTTTTGGCACTATCCTGTCTGAAAGGAGGTTTGCTCAATTGTCCTCCAATATTTCCTCGATGTTTTGAGAAATGTTTCACGCTTTTAATGCTCTTAAATCTGCTTTAGTTATAACTTGGTTTCAGTTTTCATGGCGTCAAAACAACGTAGCAAGAGTATTGAAATTTTGTCGTACTTACAAGATCACTTTCACTTTTATTGTTTTCAAACCTCATTACTTGACTGCAAATGTGGTATGTTATTTACTTGGTGATCCAGGCAGCAATTTCAAAGAGATGATTATGACTGGTGTAATAACACATGCGTCAATTGAAATCCACAGATGCATCGTTAAATCGTTGCCTGAAGCAGGGGGGTGTCAAGGGAGGGTTTTGGCGGAGACTTAATTTCAACTTGTTGGTAGGTAAGATGACTGCACGAACAAACAGCAACAAACCTCACGAAAATAGAAATATATGTTTAGTCGCATAAGAAAACTGATATTCAAAGAAAGTTTACGTGACCCACACCCCCTCCCCTGATAACACAACCAACCAATGTTGGGCAATGTATTGAACGGCGTACCAATTCACAAATTATGTGGTTACTGTACGTGATGATGTACGTACATATTGCAAAATGTAACCCATGCGGATCAACTGGTTCGCAACTGCATGAGAGATCGACGCCCAATGAGAATCATTCGCTGTCGAAAAGTGGGTGCTAAAATGGATTCATGCAAAAATAGAAAGAGTAGACAGCTGCAAAAGATTTGGCACAAGAAAAGTATTTGCAGCATTAAATATATATATTTTCAGATGAATGTGCTGAAATTGCATTTGGTATTAACATTACGCTCATAAAAACAAACAGTGCGCCACAGGCAAGCACTGGGTATACAAGGAAAGACCCCCAAGATGTATAAGACATAAGCCAAAACACATATATCATATACCATCACTCTACATGATTCATTCGTAAACCCGGATATAAACATAAACAGATCTATATCTATGCCTTTTCAATATCCTTCTCGTTATCGACCAAAACATCTTCGGTGTGTCCAACAGCGGTCTTGCGGGCGTTGTGACCAGAGAAAGTCTCGTGAGGAACCCACTTAGGGGAGTTTCTTGGAGTAGTCTCCTCCATCATACGGTCGACTTGCTCGAGGGAAAGACCCTTGGTCTCTGGTACCAAGAAGAAAGCGTAGACGAAAGCGCACGTGCAAAGACCTCCCCATACGAAGAATACAGAGGACTTCAAGTTTCCGTACTCCTCACCAACCATGTATGGCGTGATGACAGCGATGATAGTGTTCCATAGCCAGTTGGATGCGGTGGACAGACCAACACCACGAGCTCTGATGGGTAGAGGGAAGATCTCACCGATGAGAACCCAAGCTCCTGGACCCCAGGTAGAGGCGAAGAAGAAGATGAAAATAGCGATGAATGCGATTTGTGCATTTACGGCGGAGATATTGTTGGCAATGTTCAATCCATCCTCACCGACGTGAGTGTGGTTGAATCCAACAGTAACACCGACGATAGCAACGATGAATTGACAGATGGTCATTCCCAAAGCTCCCCAGACGAGAAGAGGACGACGACCGAATTTCTCGACGGTGTAGAAGGAAATTGGAGTAGAGAAAACGTTGACCAAGGTGAAGATCAACGAAATCAAGAAAGTGTTCTCAATAGCACCAGTGGATTGCAAGAATGGGGTCGAGTAGTAGAAGATGAAGTTGACACCAGTCCTGTATTTATTCAATTAGCACAAGCACCGCACTTGGAACCCTTTGCATAACTTACCATTGTTGCATCATTTGTAGAGATGTACCAAGAATTGTGCGACGGATGTTTGACTTCTGCTCGAACAGGGAACCGCTGAAGCATTGAGCCCAGCTGGAAAGAGCACCGGTATCAGGAATGATGGAGCGCTCATATTCCTCGTTGGCGACAATTTCGGCAAGCTCGACTTGAATGTACTCGGAATCGAGAGGTTGTCCACGAAGTCTAGAGAGAGAATCTGCTGCCTGTTGAAGTTTACCCTTCTTGACGAAATATCTTGGGGAGTCTGGTAAGAAGAACAATCCACCACCGAGAATAAGACCCCAGATGAATTGCAGTGCGATAGGAATACGGTATTCTCCAGTGTCAGGGCGCTTCTCGGTGCCGTAGATAACACAGGCTGCCATCATCAAACCGATTGTAATACAAAATTGATATCCAGAGACCAAGGCGCCACGGACTTTCTTTGGGCACTGCAAAAATATTAGCATGGGCTGAGTGCAGGAGTAATGGAAATACTTACAATTTCACTCATGTACAAGATGACAACTGCAGACTCAAAACCCACACCAAAACCAGCAATCAGGCGACCTGCAACAATCGTTCCAAGAGCGTTAACTCCCGGTCCAGTGATCATTTGAATAACAACTCCGACAGTGTAGATGACGCAACCAAGGATGACAGTCCATTTTCGTCCAATTCGATCAGCCATGTCACCAGCGACGAGTGCACCGAAGAAAGTACCAGCAGAAAGAATTGAGACTATAAGAGATTGATTTGAGGAAGTGAGCTTGTCGGCGCCTGGGCCTTCGACCAATTGAATGAAAATATCACTTCCATTGACACCGTTGATATATCCGGAGTCGTAGCCGAAGAAGATTCCCCCGAACGAGGCAAAGGCACAGATCACGTAGGCCTTCCAGGTAACTGGCGCCTCGATGCGCTCAACATCGTTTGTGGTTGCGAGATCTTCTCCAGGCATCTTGTCAGGCGATGATGGATTAAGGATAAGGGGATGGAAAGGAGTAGAAAAAGGGCATCCCAGGCACTGGGACAGCGCCTTCATATACCAATTTCTGAATGGGGCAAGAAGACATAGTCAAGCTCGGGAACCACGAGATTGCCCTCGGCCTTGTTTACTAGACAAGGATATTGTCAGGGGACTTCGTGGTTGCAATGCGGGGGGTGGAGTTGGAAAAAGTTCCAAGGTTGGTATGGATTTGCGGAGTCCTTTACGGCTCCTCATAGGCCAATTGTGGGGATATTTGCCAGGCCGACTGTGCCCCAGAACCCATCGCGGAATCATGGTCGGCTGGAGTCTCCATACGGGGAGAAAACTCGACCGGGGGCACTGCAAGCCCAATGAACCCCCCCATTACCCCCTTGCAAGCCGTAGGGGTGGCCAATAACAAATAGAACGGCCGTATTTCGGTGCCGCGGATGGGTCGAAGTCCCTGGCGAGCCTCAATTTGTTTCGGTGTAGAGGTGTGCTGAATTCTCAAGACGCCTAAATAAGCGAGACCGCCCGAGATTGTAGCGCTGGAAATACTCGGTACTATTGTTTTTAACGCAGGATCTTATCGACAAAGATTTATCATCGTCAACCGACCAGCTGAATCAACTTCTTTTTTTCCATATCGTCCACTGAGTTGTTAAGCGAGATGTCTGTGTCGGGTAAGGCGAAAGTCAATCCCCGTATATTTTGCTTCCCACAATGCGGGGGAAAGCCTATGGGAACCCTTTGCCGTGTTTCTTGACGGACAATTTTATCCACTTGCGATGCATGTCTTGTTTACACTTGGGTTGGAAGCTTGGTTCTTGATATTTAGACAGCACTTGTTGTTCGATATCAAAGCGGGCCGACCCTATGCTATCTATTTATTTTTTCTCGTTAGCACCCAGACCCCAAAAAATACAAGCCCTTACCCAGATAAATGATGCTCGGTCGTTATTAGCACGAAAGGTACGTGCCTCTAACAAGTACGTAAAATCGTTGCATCCTTTCCGTGCGGCGCTGCCCCGATATTTCTCCGCACCCCAGGATTTCATCCCGCAAAACAAGAACTTTTCTCCTGCACAAGAAGTCGACTGCAAACAATAAGGACCGATTTGAAAGTGGAACCTTTTGCATTACAGATCCCCAGTTCCCCATAGGTCATGTGCAGTTCACCCAAACGCCTGAGTCACGTACGAGTTCTGCTCGCCGCCGAAAAAACCACCGAACAGCTGCAAGTTGTTGACTTAAGACGTTGCTGACGTCCGCAGCAAGCACGAGGTCAGTAATACGAAATATTGTATACTTTCGATCAAGGCCGCTAAGTATTGGGCAATTATTCCTTCTAGGTGTTTCCTTTTAAGGACCCTGACGAGCTTTGTTGTAGCTCGTCATCCATGGAAAAAAAATAAAGATTCTGCGTTCTGATCCACCTGTCGGTCCCAATCTATGTTTATGGGCCTCTCCGAACTTCCCACAAGCCTCAGGGGATGTGATTCCCGCTCGTATCCTCGAGACCCCATGGGCCACGCGGTCGTGGAAGCGCCTGCGAGGTGAGGTGGACGACTTCCTTATTCACATCCACAGTATGCCATCCTCATAAGCTGCACAAAAACTAGAAGCCTGCAATTCAACAAACGACTATCGAGGAAATTGTGGAACACGGAGCGAATATTGAAGTTTTTCAGATAAACGATTTAATAAAGCCAAATGGATTTGGGTGATGCGGTACCAGGTAAAGCTTTGACACCAGCGATGGCTGTTCGTGCTGGCAAAAATCTACTAAAAATTCCCGTCAATAACTCCGCAATACAATTATTGAAACTCACCATACCGGTACTTCGTGTAAACATCGCTAAACTTCGCAACGGATTTTTTTCGCGAAGGACGCGTCCAGATGAAAAATCTATCGAGTTTCAAAGGAATGACAAAGCTCATGAACTGTGGATATGTGGATCTAATAGACTGTCCGTAGAACCGCCGTAAAACTGCTGTCATTGGGTCTTCCATCATGCACGGGGTACATGGAAGCACCCCACAAAAACCAATTTCTGGAGAAGAATAACCGCCCCCGCCGTCGGGTTCGAGCAGAGCCTTCCCTCGGTATTCCCAGCGGTAACGAACGGCTCTTAAATCCAGAGTAAGTCTGGAATCTCCAAGGAGGGATGCAGCATGGAGATATGCACGTGATCATTGCCCCTGATCAGCACGTGCCTTAGCGATGGTGACCAGGCCAGGACCCGTTTCCTTCTACCAAATAGCTGGAAGATGGTTTCCCAAAAATTGGGAGCGATAGGTTGAATTGGGTCAATATGTAAGTAGGGTGCTCCCGAGTGACCTCATTGTGCGACTAGGCCCGAGGGCCCCCTTTGATTAGACGCTTTGGGTTCCGGACAGATTTATCACAGGGATAATAACATGCTCATCGACCAGGCCAGGTCTCTTGAAGATAAGATCCCATCATGCAAGTACTTACTCTTATTTTCACGTCACTGAGACTCCAAGGGAACCGGAATAACGACCCGCGATTGTTTGTCGGGGACACAAAAGTGGATTTATAAAAAATATTTATAGCTCTTTGGTAGCATCCACGGACGGAAAGCCCGCGGACTAAATTGATAACGAATTGAATTGAATCTCGTACACTACACAGCTTCGATCTGTATGAATAGTTTCTGTCGAACTTTGCCCGTAAGCACTTTAAATGTTAGCCTCCGTTTGCATTGAGTTCAGTAGAGAACTTGGTGCTACCGGAGTTTGTAGAACATTTATCCATGATCATGCAAAAACCCAATCATCAAAAAGCAGAACGCGGTTCATCTGGAACAAAATGTTTCTCTATATTCTCTTGGATTATTAGCTGTTGCGATATATTCCACTCCTTTACATCACGTTATTCTAGACCCACTTTGTTCGAGTTTAGGAACTCTCACACTCACTTAGCTCCTCAACAATCGAATCACATATATAACCACCTTGCTTGTTCACAACAGTACGCTGTTGATATTCCTCTGGGATATCGACAGATATCTCTATACCAACATTGGCTTTTTAAAAGAGAAAACCAAGAAAGAGGCTTGTCAAAAGAATGCTAGCTTTTGAAAACTACTTCAAAGTAGAGTGCCGTTGAATTTATTTCGTCAAGTGTCTGGCACATGAGTTCCGTGAAGGCTGCATGCTATATTTTGTCAAGTTGAATAAAACGCGAAAACCTGATCTTAGAGGCTGTGCCAGTCGCTCCAATGCGAAAAAGGTACGAAGCATGGCTTTCAATATTCTGGTACCGTAGAAGGTTGTTGCGAGAAGTCAGAAGTGGGGTTTGAATAAAACAATACGACGCTACACAGATACAAGCCAATGAACACAAGAAATTACACCCACCTGGCTGACTAGAATAGGCTGACTGATCATTCACGTTTACATCAGCAGAAGACATATTCCAAAAACAAGTCATGTTTGTGACACTTGAATACGCCATCGACCCAATTCTCCTGGAACTAATAAGTCAGTTGTGCTAGATCTTTAGCATCATATGTCCAAATATACATCCAGTATTGAGAGGAGCAACGACGGAGACTTTTATATTGTGAACCTTGGACCATGGATATCTCACGGCTCAATTGAGATTCGGTAAAGTAGAATGCAGCGGTTTTCAAGTGAAGACTGGAGCTGGAAATAACCTTTCGTCAGCCGCAGCTGAATACCCGAAATCTAGTAAATCTGACGTGGGATGTCAACCAATACATCGAAAATGTTATGTTGTTACACTTGCAATAAGGTTTCATCGGAAATCTCACTCCGTGTCCTACTATCTGAACGTGGAATACAGTAGGTTGTTGATCTCCAAAGTCCTCAGCTCCGCCATTTATCAGAAAGCATCTATTAGCACGGTTTCATGTATATGAAATTTTCAATTTCATCTATCGTATACTGTAGGCTCCTCGATATCCTCCATCATATACAATAAGTCCTTCCAAAACAACAACAACAACAACAACATGGAAATGGAAAGCAACACGCCATTAGAACTCGGGGTTAGCTTGAGCTTCCCATCAATGCTTCTTTACCTAGCATCATATTTTATCATTGAAAGAGTGATAAAACACACTTTCATTCGTTTCTTTCCCCAAACTTATTCTGGACTTCACAAAGACAGAAAAGATATCCGCTACTTCGCCTTCGTGATGGGAATCCTCATCACCATCTTCTCGACACCGATCTGCTACAAAGCACTGCAAGAATCGAAACCCCGTAACGACAAACTCGGATCGCCCAATTATTCTAAGGCAGGCGAGATCTGCATCGCATCAAGGGGTGTATTATGGATTTCAGAATTAAACAGGCTCGATTATTCATGGGTCTATATCACACACCACATATCCTCAATCAGCTATCTAGTCTACCACATCCAGACAAACCAACCCTTGCGGTTGATTCACGCTTTCTACACATCTCTTCTCACAGAATTAATATCGGACATTTCAGCTCTTTTGACAATCCACGATTTCAGAACCGCGACCTCGTCACTCGCTTATCGATTCCAGACTACCAACACGATTCTACTGGTTTTTCTCAGACTCCCTCCGATATGGTATGCCGCGAAATTCATCGCCACACTCTCCACACGGACCAGTCTGTTCTGGATAGATTCAATTTGTCTATTGATCTACTTCCTATTCATCACCCACCTAATTTTCTCTGCCTCGCGACGCTTAAACCTTTTCCAGCTGGAAAGCAAGGCACCGGCATACATCCTCATAACCCAAAGATTCAAACTCTCCATCTACAGCATCTTCTTCGCAATCGCCTCGTTTGTTACAGCAATCATCTCCGCCGTGATATATATCCAAAGCAGCACGCCTCTCCTATCCGCTTCCGAAATCAAACACTTGAGCCTTCAACTCATGGGCAGTGGAGCTGCTGCGTATGTGGGGGCGAGAGCATCTTCACATATCATCGGCAGATCTCTAACACCATTAAATCGCAAAATTTTGTTCAAAGCGAGTTTATGGATCCAAGGTTCTTTCTTCGCGGTTATCTTGAGTATCTGTGTTTCGCCGCTAGTCGGGCGAATGAGGTTCATCTCCTCGTTTTTTATGGCGTTCCCGATAGGAGAGTGTCTTGGTAGAATTGGATGCTACTTTGCTGGATGTTGTGGTGAGAAAAAGTATTGGGGCACTCCTGCTCCGCTACTTTCTTCGATGTTGAATGGCATTGTCGGGGTTTCAGTCTTGAAACTTTGGGCAAGAGGGGGTTTGGATCTTGAGTGGGGAGCGGGGATGGCACTTTGTTTGAATGCTATGATACGGATTTTGTTACGCCCGAACTTATTCTCTTTTGGACAATTGGTAGCTGGAGCTGTATTTGTGATTATAGGCACAAAACTTGTTACTGTGGTCCCAAGCAATTCCGGCACCTTGGTCAATCGGACCGGTGAGGACTTTGCTCTTCACGAAAAAAATACTGTTATCAAAGGAGAATTTCTTGGGAGTGAGTGGATAGTGTTGCTAGCTCTCGGATCTGTGTTAGCTGGAAGCCTTGTTCAAGGTCCGACGGGTGAGGATTTCACAGCAGAGGCGATTCGAGCTTGTAATACTGCTGGTGAAAAGAGTCTATGGGAAAAGGATGAGTCGCGAAATCTGAATGGTGTAGAGTAAAGGAGAGTCTTGGTTATGAACTAGATAAATATTGCGGAACATCGAAGATTGGCACATTCTACATGTATCTTACGATTGTTCTGATGATTTTGAGACATAGATTATTCCTACATTGTAGAAAAGGAAATTCATCTGAACATATAACGCTTCTGTGACGATAGAGATCCAAGACGTGGAACATTGTGTTTTGGGAAAAAGTTTCGGAGCGGTCGTTTTCTCCATAATGGGTTTCTTCGCAGCACAAAGCCCAAAGTCGTATGAAAGATATCGGAATTGCTAGTAGTTTCCTTGATGTTCAATATGCTTGAAGCGGAAACTCAGAAAGGCATTCAAAGTGTCTGACAATTTGCATTTTAGTTTGGTTTCAAACTCTTTGTACTTTTGTCTTGACTTTGTTCAGAACCTGTTCATGATATTCCGAGGCTTTTCTGGAACCCTTTTCTGTTTCTACGGTTTTCCAAGAATGTTCAATATAGTAGATATATCTAGCCTACTCCGCTTTCGCTTCTTCTCCATCGGCAAACCCAACAAACTACAATACAACAAAAAGATCAAAACACCACCGGATACATCTATTGACATATCAGTAAAGCATTCAGCACAAGTCCAAAATGGCCGTACTCTCCAGGTCCAAAATGGCCGAGTGGCGTTCGGTCATAGCAACCGACGGGAGCGGGTGTAGCCGACATCTTTTTCGGCAAGTCAAAAAGTTCTTGGAAACGGATTGTTTGTTTTCAGCTCAGGAGGAATTTGCCTCAATCCTGACCATGGATTGTGACTGGGACAACTTGTGGGGTATCATTATTCCCGGCTTAAGAAGGTTCCCACAAATAAACGAACCCTTGACGGCGCTATCCCTTCAGATTTTGAAAGAAGCAGGCCCCCCAGCCAAAGAACGAAAATGGTGTATCGATGCGTTTCTGAATTCCCTCACTGAGGATTACTTTGGTGCGGATATCTTTCCATCACAAAATTCCACGCTAATGCAAAACTTTTAGGCGTTTGCGTTCCTCATGGTATTGCGGAGGCTGATGACCAAGACTGGCTGAATCTGACCAGCTTTATTGTCGAAATATTTCAGAAACATTTACCTGGTCTCGAAGATCTGGAAGGCGCCGCCAGTTACACACTCGTCGAGGCTTTGGAGAAGCACCCATGGACGGATTTCCCATACGTCGATACTGAATCTTCTACGGAATCTTCGATGGACTCCTTCACGGACTGTTCAGCAGAATATTCGTCCTCATCTTCGGAAGAGTTTGCTCTAGAAGAAACGGAAACATTTTCATGCGATTTGATAGCCTCCGACCAAGATGCATCAATTGTTTCGACTCCTGAAGCTATTGACAACCTTGAACTCGGGGAAGCCGATCTTTTGAATGGAATCGTGCCGGCTGCAGCAATTTGGATCAAGAGGGCGGGGCGAGAAATCTATGAAAAATCTGGAGATATGGACTCAGGTGTATTTCTCGAGTATCCAAAGGACTGGGAAAGATACGATATTGGCGATCGCCCCGGATGGTCGAGAGAGAGATTTCGGTTTTGGAGAAGCAGATTTGAGCTCATCAGCAACCTAGAGTTGGCAGCTGTGACTAAGGCTACAAAAGATTTAGCAAAGGAAGCGGCGGAGATCATGGCTAACATTGAAAGCGAGGGTTGTAAGCCCAAGCACATATGTGGATGACGATGAGAAGCAAGATATCTGCCGCGGTTCAATGAGATTGTGATATTGTTACGACACATAGATTGGGATTAATATTCTTCTCCCCCGCTGGGCGAAAATCAAACACTTCTCCTTCCGAACACTGTTTTTCGACATGCATCCAATACTGTAAATGAAAATAGTCTCAGATTTCGCAGTCCGAGACGCAAGGACTCTCCAACCCTTTTGTAAAGGAGGTTAAAAGTTCATTCAATTTGTTTGGGGCCTCGAGTTGAGCCCAATGTGCGGCACTGATCTCTTCAACTCTCAAGTTTCGATACCACTGACTTCCCATCATCAATATCTCAGAGGGAAAGAATGTATCGTCTGTTGGCACCACCAGTAAAGCAGGTACAGTGACATACTTTCTTTCCTCTGGTAAATCCATATGGTGAACAGCATCGATATTGGCTATCGCTGATTTATACCTAAGATAATCAGATTAGCCGTGTTAGGGGAGTGTGCTTGGAAGTGAAAATGCGTTCTTACCAATTGCATGGACCATGGTATCCCTTTATTTTCATGATTTTGTTGTGTTTCTTGAATTCTTCATCACTCAGCCAGCCTGGCAATGGTGGTAAGATGTTGTCACTATTCAACCACTTTTCAAGTGCTCCTACAGGACCTAAATTCTCTTTCCAGAGTTCTGGGCTTGGAGGATACAATATGCTTGTGATTCTCTCTGGCTAAGTAAAAGAAATGTCAGGAATAATGAAGAGGATTTAAAACTGGAAAACACACTTTCTCATCGAGAATCCTTCCAGCTTCAGGCTTGTCGAAAAACTTCCAGTATCCCATCGCGGGGTGGCCGAATCTGTCTGCAGTGAAAGCGTTTATTGCATCTATATCCATTGGTTCGGTTCCAGGCTCTGCATAACCGGTAGCTACCCAAACTGCTGCCAGTAATTTGTCTGAGTGCCAGGTGTTGAAGCGAGACAGGAGTCCAGAGCCCCTCGTTTCGATTTCAGCATACATTCCTACTGTTCAAGGGAATGAAATTTCGTACCAGTCATGACCTACCCCAATAACCTTTTCCAACTTCTCGTACGCCAGAATCTCGGCCAGATGATTTGCCATCCTTTTGAACTCATATGCCTCCAATTCACCCGGTGCATCCGAATTTCCATATCCAAGGAGATCAGGAGCAATGACTCCATAACCCAGGAAAGAAAGGAGGGGAATTTGATGGCGCCATTCATAACTTGAACTTGGAAACCCGTGAAGCAAGAGGAACGTTGGTTTCCTTGGAATGGAGGGAGGAATACAGACGTAAGCGTATGTTGTCCCGTCCCTGAGAGTTAGTTTCGTGCTGCTGCCGGGGTAGCTTGATGCCATTTCTTTTTGTCTTCCAGTACTTCGTTAGTCTGAATATAGAGGAAGTAGAATAAAAAGGTATTTCAAAGTGAAGTTCTTTGTACCAATCAAGATCCAATGTATATTCATGACACTGCTGAAGGGGGGTGGGCCGACTTGCCAAGCCCACGCCCTTCTATTGACGCCAGTCCCCATTCCAAACACCACGCTTATTTCAACCCATTTACTCCTTTCTATAAACATTCCCTGTATGATTTCACTCCCTGCGCTAAAAATCACTCTCAAGTATCTTACCTTATCCTTCACTTCCGATGAAGTCCGAAGTCCAGTGTGTTATCAAATGTCGTACTATTGGTAACGTGATCCAACCCGAAAACGACCACTAATTACAACTTCCAAGCTGCAAAAATCCTTCAGCCCTCAAATGAGGTTTTCCTTATCAAATACAGCCTTCTTATCTCGATCCACAACTTCTAAATTCATTCCTGAGAAGAAGACTATCGTGTTGGATCCAGACGTCGCGTTGTTGGGTATCTGTGTCGGTTGGTATATTGGAAGTGGTTCTCGGTAGAAATGTTGTGATTTAGGGCTTGGTTTTTCTGGGAGTAGGTTGGGGAAAGCGCTTTTGCTGATCGGATGAAATTTTTGGCTGCATGCACACAATATGGCCACCAATACTTCGAGGTTGGACCACATGCTTAAGTACGCATTTTCAACTTTCCGATCACAGTCAGTATCCCTAGACAGGATGAAAGCCATATTCAAGTTACTCACATGCGAGATCGTCTGAGCTTCCGAGTTCATAAAGACCGTGCAGTCTTAGAATGCTCATTAAGCATCCACTAGAAACAAGGGTCAACAAAGAGTACTGCCTTTTCTTTTCTGGTCGTGGACTTACACTATTCTAATCCCCAATGCAGACAATGCCCACAACCTTTTCTCCAATGGTAAGTTAACCTTTGACAGGAGAGGCATAGGAATAGCCAAGAAAATCAGATCTGAAACTATCTGATATGAGGCATTGGTGACGTATCCGACTTTCAGATCGATGCACTCTCCGTCCAACTCCACGTTCCAGAATGAGTTGATGGGTTTACAGGTGAATATTGCCAAAACCATTGCCTCGATTCCATATGCCACAGTCGAGACAATCGCGAGCCAGACTACCATACGCGTTTTGCCTGTCTTGAAAACTCTTCAATACTGCAAACCGATGGCGAGTTTCGCCAACCATAAGGCCATAATATAGCGTATTATAGCTGAGTATAAGCCCTTTTATCCTTGATTAGCTTCGGATCTTTCGAGTTGAACTTTCTTCGTTTTCGAGAACGTGAATCTTTACCTTCAATATCTCTTTGATGTCTGCGAGGTTGAGTTGCGAGGTAGGATAGCCCAAACCATGATCCGCTTCTGACTTCCCATTAGTACGAGTCTTTGATCTAGAGGATCTCGCATACGATGGAGTGTCGCCGGTATCAGTCCCACCGCGAATATCTTCAAGTCACTAGCTTTGCATTCGTAGCATATCAAGGCGCAAATATAGAGAGACATACTCACAAAAGCCACGGTAATTATGAACTCATCCTTTCCTCCAGTTTTTGTCAAGACAAATCTAGCAACCAGCCGCAGTACTAGAAATATTAATGCGAGAGATGTGAAAATAAAGGTGAGTAGTAGGTTCAGAAATGCCCTGGGAGCAATGGACCGCTGTCCTGTCGGCCTCGGCCCTGGAATAGTAGAATTCATTGCAAATCTGAAAGAGGTCCTAAAGCTCTGAAAGACTGAAAATTAAGTAATATACATGAAGGAGAATATTTCCGTCGTGGGAGTGGTGTTATAGCTATGTGTATTCTGATGACTCGCTCCCCCTATGCGTTAAAGTTCGTGATTTGGATTTGGCCACCATTTCGCACAGTTTGGAGGATCACCAGTTAGATAAACTCTCTGATATTGCTGGACAATTCAAGTACCGTCTACGTCATCTTTACTGATGAAAAGGGAAGCCCAGTGAGAGAGAGCATGGCCGTGCGACGCAGGTGAAACAAGTTTGTTTACCTCCGGATTCAGAGAAAACTTTGTTTGCGAAACATTCGAGTAACAGGACGAGTCTAAAAAAAGGATGACTTCTACAAAGTATTTTTTTGTTGATCAAACCTAGGTCAACTAAAGTTCCCTAGCGGAAATCTGGAAAGTGTGTATTTTCAGATAAAGAGCGTGAGTGTTTTACTAAAACCCCGGGATCTTTGAGACCCAGTATTCAGCGAAAACATCCAATTAAAAGACTGTATTTTCAGTGGATTAAGCTTTTATATATCCGAGCTGGTTTCCAATGATTAGTCCATTTAAGCTTTTCCCGGAAACTTCCCCTGGGGGACTGTACAGTATATCAAGAATTATGCTACTTTCTTCTGCTTCTCTAGATTAGTCTCGTGGCAAGTCGGAGAGCTTGGTCGCTTGTCGGTATGAACTGACTCATAAATTTGTCTGACCTTCACGAAGTCCTGTACTGTAGAATGGGGTTCTATTGCTAGGTAAAAGGGAAAGGCTAGGATTGTCCTGCTAGTTGAAGTGGTGCGGCACATGTGGCGTCCATACTTTATGTTCCTCCACAGATACAGAGTAAAGTTTAACGCTGATCCTCAAATTATGAGAACGGCTGGCAAGAGGGATATTCCTGTAACAGTTTTAGACCCCTTACTTCCCAGGTGGAAAATATACCGTAGCCTGGAAGCTACAGTATGCTTAAGGTGCGATGTTTTTTTCAAACTTCAGAGTATCTTTCTGTATCTCAGACGAATTGTGTATTTTCTGCCTACATATCTTGTTTAATACTAAAATTGACTCGCTGGTAGGGTATTTATACCTACGGCTATCGCATTGTGATAAATAGAGCGTAAATTTGCAGAAAAATCTCGAAAGACTCAAAGTCACTGATGAAACGGAATTGGTACTGTCAGTGCAATCACGTGACCGTTAAAATTAACAATCCTGTTGTTTTGAAATGGTTTGAACGTAATTTGAATACCGCTACCAGTAAGAGTACCAGCACCTAAAGGCTTTACCTTCACGTGCACAGTACCTTCGAGTTTGTTTCCGGAATAAGTTGTACCGTGTTTTACTCAGGCTCACGGTTCTCTGAAACCGCTCATTAAGAGACACCCCCAATCACAAGACCGGATTATATGTCGAACTGACCTTTTGTATACCAATACTATAGAGCACGGTTTCTGGGGATGTGACCATTCTATGTTTCCGGATCTCTGATTGAAGGCACCGTATATCTTCCTGTATGAAGGAGCTCGTTACTGTAACATTACAGCAAGCGGCAAGCCACATTTCCGCTCGGCCCGCTAGCCATTCTAACTCAACCTCGAGATACTGTACTGTGCAGTACTGTAAAGATATATCCATGTTCAGCGGAATTGGTTCATTCATCCAATATTTGAAGTGTAAAACCGCAAAGATCATGTCTTGAGTCACGTTTAATCAAGCTCACTAGTGAGGTGTTGGGCATAGGAGTGTCATTTGTCTTTCGACTAAGCTAAGTAGCCCTGAAGGACACAACTTGATGGTTCATTTCACTACAAAGTAACCTGTATGATCCAGGCTGGCCATCCCAATCCCGCCACACTTGACGAGCACGGTGTCAAGGCTTTGCGAGGCAAAAGTTACCTAGGCAGCAGTATGCTTGCTAACCCTCTACCATCTCGAGACCGTGTCTCCTGCCTCCTTCAGTAATCGATAATTTACCCATAATTACCAGTACTTCAACGGGGTTTTCAATTGAATCTGGAACAACCCGGAAATGTCACATGATTGAAGACATCCTTCCAATTGTAAATGAACATAATTGAGACACCAATACGGAGGAAGGGCAATTCCACTTTTGCGAACTCTCTGATTATTTATCTATTTCGAGAAATAGCCTTTCTCTGCTTTCAGATCTTAGAGGGGTAAGTGTCGATCTTAACGTTCCTGTCCTTTAAACTGTAAAACTTACCCCCCATAAAAAACATACTTCCATATAATAACCTAGCCTCGAGCCAAAAGGCGAGGCAAATGGTATTTACCGTGTTTAGAAGCTCAAAGAATTCCTCATATATTCTTTTTCAAACTATATCTTCTTCTTACCCCTAATAACAACCAAATTACCACAACGTAATTAAACTCATAACCCATGAAAATAGTAAAAGCACAAAATTAAGCTAGAGTTTATATTGGAAGACGAATAAGGTATTGTTACAATAAGGGTAATATAAGTATGTCTAGCTAGCCAGGGGTAAAGGGGAAGTCTTATGCGTTCCTAAAATAGTGGAATCTTCTAGAATATCGGCTAAGCGCTAGGCAAGACAGGAACGATAGGGGTCTCGGCTAAGGGGTTCGTCCAAAAATAGGGGCATTCTATCATGATTTACCTATATTTTTGATATACTTCCGTAACTTCCATAGAGTAAGTAGTTTATCTATTAAAACCAAGTCTTCCAAATTTTCGGTTATTTTGGTTAGGATATGTAGAGCTCTACTTACCTGTTTTTCTGATGCTACTGTATGACTTCACTCAGATGGAATTGACTGATGGTCTTTTGTTTTGGTTGTCTTGGCCTGCTTCTGGGTTTGGGGTTGCTGATTTCTGATGCAAGACTTATGCTGAGATTGCGACGAGATTTTGGAGGCAAGCTTGGTGTTGTGGATTGATGTAGGACTTACTTGGATTAACTGATAACAGACGCATCGCATCTTCAATCCAGATTTCAATAGTGGGTGGTATCGAATTGTATAGCAAGATTCTTTTCTTGTTTCACCACGTTGGGAACATCATGTGTGGGTATTCGTGCCAATTTCTTTATCTCCTTCTAGATGTCCAGCTATTATGTCTGCTGTCGGATTGAATGTGGGTTCGTTGCTGTATCGCAATAACAGGCTTTGTTCGCCTTCATCATTCTCTTACGACACTTGCACGCCCTGATACAATCCACACGAGGGCGTAATATGGCAGTGTCAGTACCAAGACACTACTCCGCATAAGTTTACTTGTTGTCATCGACGATCGATGAATGTGAGCTTGCGTGGAGACATACTACCTACCTATATAATCCCATGATTCTACATCATTTCAACTCCCGGGTCGAATCTTATCATCTCATCGTCGCCTATGTTGAGGGGTGATTCTTGTTGGTGCGATAGGTTCATGCCAAATAGATAGACACTCCAAGTTTCCTAGATAATCCACACTAATTTATCTCTCGGGTCCAGATCTCATTGTCTCGTTGTTGAAATCCTGATCTCCCGTTGCTGTTTGGCTCATATCTACAGATAGACAGTCCCAATGCCTCCATTCGTAGTCGGGATACAAAATGCAAGATTGACTCAAAAGCTTGACCCCGACGATCACATCCAGAAATACACATTCTAAGAACCAGAATACTACCTACCCGAATACACCAAATTCGTTTAGGTAGACCCGTGGGGCTAGCGCGTGGGCTGCTTATCGTTTTCCTGATTGGTATGCAGTACCTACTCTGCCTTGTTCCCGTGCCGAGTGCCTTTGCCGAGCACCTTATGTACATACTGTATATTGAATACTGCGAGATGTCGGTAGGTAAGAATCGTGAATTCTTGTTTTTTTCTCGTACGAGATGTCGTGATCTTTTCGACTCCTGCCTTATGGATATTAACAGAAGCTAAATGCTCTTTTATTTTTGGGACGAAGACGTCACGATACATGTCCTATGCGGGTACGAGGTGATGTTGGTGGCCATCTCGTAATCTGACGGAGGTATCACCTCGCAATTGGGGAAGGGGGGTATTCTAGTCTAGAGGCAGCATTAAACCACCGACAGTAGTGAAAATACTTTGGGTATTGCAGCGCAGCATGCCATTCACAGCTCAACACCCAGCACAATCCTTATCAGATCTCATCCGGTCTCGGCATACGACGACACTCTTTGCTTCTTGCTGCAGATATCGTGCGTTTCGGAGGTTAGCGATCTCCCTTTTACACCTCGATGTCTTGCAGCACCAGACAAGACAAGACAGTTTCAGTGCATACAATTCTCGAGAGGAGAGGAAGGTATATAATGAGCACGTACGCTCTAGATGTTGACGATCCGGTGTTCCAGATGGGATCGTTGTGGTGTCGTGATGTGAGTTGCTAGGTAGGCATGGGTACGGTGTAGTATGGTATGGTAGGCTACCCCGCGATTTTCATTTGCCAATCCACTGATGCCGGGCCCACGCCCCCACCGAAATACTTTGGAGACAGAGACAACCAGCGAGAGTGAGAGGCGTGGTACATCACTTTCCGTACTGGTACTTTGCGCTGTATGTAGCAAGTGCAAAGCTTTTCATACACGTGGACGGGATATTTATATCCAATAGGTACTCGGTACCTATGAAACCGCAGCAAGTAACAGCAAGCAGGTTCGAAATTTCTCCTTGGTCACTGGAGCTGGCTGGGTTTTTTGGCTCCCTAGCTAGGTGAGGGGCGATAACGGATATTTAGACTCGTCGCCCGCAGATGTTTTTCTGCATGTTTATTCCAGGTTCGGTTAGGGGCTGTTATTGGTTCGTGGGGATGTGAATGAATGGAAGTGGAGAAGCTTACTCCGAGTATGTGTGGAACTCTGATGGTCTCTTGCTTCTTCACATGCCTTATCTGGCTCTTCTTTAGCGACAGAAAAGGCCTTTTCCTCACCAGTAGTAGTGGCGAGGGCGACATGCATTATTCGAGATGCCAAGGGAAAAGGTGTTCAAGGTCAGGTCTGGTCGATATTTTCTCTTCTGCATGCATACATCCATCGATCATTTTCGCTCGTAGACTCCAGCTCCAAGTCTCGACTGGTCTTCAATTTTCGTCGTATGTTGTTGCCGATACGCATTTTCTCTCCGGGGGTCTCCCTTGGCGGCCAGAGGTGAATCTCGTTTGATATATATATATAAGTTCTCAACCAACCTAGTTCTCCGGTTCGCTAGCGAATCTCACGGTCACAGTCACATCATCTTCACGACTTATTCGCCATTTCTCCTTCTCACGCACCTAAACACCAATTCATATCATGGGGATGTTTGATCGGTCTACGTGCACGAATAGCAGTGTTGTATCTTCCCACGATGCGCTGCCTGATGAGACAACTCCACTTTTGAAAGGAAAAGATACCATAACTGTCAGCGTATCTGCTTGCGATCCGGAAGCAGATGCTGTCGTTCCGGAGCCATGTGCAGATAAGCAGAGTCTTCTGCAGTCTTGCAATAATGTTACTGGTGTGATTTCGATTTTGCTGCTGGGTTCGTCTCATCTTCTCCTACTCTCAGCTTCTCTCGCCTCGGATGATTTCAGAAACGAAATTCGACAAGAACCGTGATGGCTAACTTGCATCAAAAGGGGTGTTTATTGCCAATGCCGATGTATCACTCGTTCTTGCTACTAGTGGCACAATCAGTAGCGAGTTTGGCCAGCTTGGAAATGCAGGATGGTTGGTCACTTCATATACGCTAGCTATGTGTGCGGCACAATCCTTGGCAAGTTCTCAGACAATTTTCCATCATTGAATAAGTTCTAACAACAGAGTAGTATGGTAGACTAAGCGATATATATGGCAGAAAAAACACCATTATTGCTTCATATGTTTTCTTCGCGGTCGGCTCGGCAATATGGTTAGTCCTACCTCTTTCCTCAACGAAACATGATGGTGGCCCTCGAAGCGAGAAAACTTTTGCTAACTGTTTACTTTAGCGGACTAGGCCAAACGATTACGCAAGTCATCATCGGAAGACTTATCGCTGGAGTTGGTGGAGCTGGAATTAATTGTCTCGTTGCTATTGTCATTGCTGGTACGAATCACCTAAAACAACCTCCCGGCACTGATAACCAACAATCTCAGACATGGTTCCTATTCGAGAAGTTGCATCATGGAGAAGTTACGTGAACATTGCTGCAACATCAGGAAGAAGTCTCGGAGGACCCATCGGTGGTTTTCTCACTGACACTGTAGGATGGCGATGGTAATACCTTATCCTCCAAAAACCTAAAAGACAAAAGCTTACAATACTGTATAGGTCTTTCCTGATCCAATGTCCTCCCACTCTCCTCGCTCTCCTTCTCGTTGTCTGGAAACTCAAAGTTCCACTTCTAGAGGAAGAAGACAAACACTCCCAACTCAGCAAGCTGCGACGCATAGATTTCCTCGGCGCCATCCTCTTATCAGTCTCCATCGTCTGCGGTCTAACAGTCCTCGACTTGGGAGGTCAAAGAATGCTCTGGACATCAATTAAAGTCCTCACTCTCTTTGCTATCTCCATTAGTTCGGGGACTTTGTTTTTGTTAGTTGAAGGATTTTGGGCCAAGGAACCGATTTTCCCACTCAGATTACTGTTGAATCGCGATGTGGTTACCTCATATGTTAATCTGGCGTTCCAAACAGGTGCTCAGGGTGCAGTATGTATCCCTTTGATAATGATGAGCTGAATAGTGGCTAATGTCTGACAGATGATGTTACTCGTACCAATGTACTTCCAAGTCTCAGCCCACGCCTCCGTCACCAACGCAGGCGCACACTTAATGCCCTCGGTAATTGGCAACGCGTGCGGCGGTCTTCTGACAGGCTACGTAATCAAAAGGTTCGTCTTTTTCTTCCCTCCCCACGTCACCTTCAAACCAAGCTAATCAGCGAATCAGAACCGGTCGCTACAAATCCATAGCCATCCTCGGTTGTCTCTCCTCCTCCTTCGCTTATACCCTCATGATCCTCCGCTGGCACGGTCACACCTCCTTCCTCGAATCGCTGTACATAATCCCCGGCGGCTTTGGCAACGGCATTGCGCTCTCGGCTAGCTTCATCGCCCTCACAGCCGGGGTTGATGGGAGCCTGATTGCGATTGCGAGCTCGGGGCTGTACTTGAGTTCTAGCCTTGGCATGGTCAGTGGACTGAGTGTTGCGGCGTCGATTCTGCAGAGTACGCTTCGCAAGGAACTACGGATACGGTTGGAGGGGTGGGGGGATCGTGAGATGGTGAGTTATTCCATTTCTTCTTGTGGTCGGAAAGTAGGATGAGGACTAATGCTTTGCAGATTATTAGTCGTGCGTTGAATGATATTGAGTATGTCCGCCTACTCGAGGGAAAACTCGGCGACTTGGTCGTTGCTGCTTATGTCAAGTGTTTGGCGTATACTCATGGTATGATTCCCTTTATCTGTCTTCGTTAAAGCTCAAACTAACAGACGATTCTAGCTGTCTCTTTAATTGGAGCTTTAATCGCTCTCACGGCAGCATTCTGCATCAAGGAACACAGATTGTGATACAGTATCTAGTCGAAAAGCAGGAAATCAAGATGAAAGAAAAAGTGAGAGGAGGAAATAATACACACTACTTCTCAGAGACCACCGGCAAACCAACAGCACGGGTTTCGGTTGGCCTCTCCAGACGCTCTCCAGACGCATTTTCAAAAAGGAAGTGGAATTGCAACGGATGTGGAGATGAATTTACCGTTAGTCATAGTTGCAAACTACGTTTGGGGTTCGCGAGGTGTTACCTAAACTCACGTCGGTCTGGGATGGGATTCTATATATACCCCACAGTGCAACAATACAATCAAAAGTCGGGTCTCGGTATCGGATCAGGGAGGTTTACTAATGCGTTTGACGCTCAAACGGCAGGTTCGAGGCGTTTGTGATCGGAGTTTTGGGAATGTGCATAGGACGGAGGGAATTGGTGTTAGGACACCATACCATACCTGGGTGCATACTTGGATATTCTTTTCTGGCGTGGAGAGTGTATATATCTTACCGTTTACTAATACCGTATAAATGTTTAATTAATTGATTCAATTGGGTCTTTTGATGTGCCGCTATAGTATCGTGGGAATGTCACGTCTCGTCGAGGATCTTTCAATTGCAATCGAGGCGGTGAAGAAGAGAAGATTGGAAGGAAACACCGTGATTCGTGAAAGGTGTCAATTCTTGGATATGTACTGTACCTAGGTACTGTCCACCCGTTTCCCAAAGCAACAGAACGGACTAATATCTCAAGCTCTTATCCATCCTCTCTATCGTGGGTTACCAATCCATAATCGGGGTTAAACGTAAATGTACGCTGCTTACGAAAAAACCTCTTTTCCAACCACTGTCATACTTCTTCCTCTATTGAAATAACTCTCCATCATGGCTATAAACCCCCTTCTCCACACGATGACATGGAACATAATACATTTATTTTGATGGAGCTATATTACAATGATTGGTTTACATGGCGCCGGTTCCCCATGTACATGTAGATGTAGATGTACCTGGGTGACTAATCTAATGTCCGACGCGGGGACAATCTCGATCGGGGAAATGGCAGCCCTTGTTTGTGCATGAGGCTCGTTGTTGGTACCAAGAACCAAGATCAGCAGCGAAACTGAAAGACGGTTTGATGGGTTGAGGTGGATGGGGCTGATTACCAAGTAGTACATAGTACTTAGGATGACATTTGACGTCTGTGATGGGGACTGGAGACGGAGGATTAGTGGGTGAGGGCGAGGGGATATAAAGGGGGCTTCGATTATCGTTGGAATCAATTATTCTTTTTTGTTGCTCTTCATTGATTGACATTGACATCTTCACAACCCACGATTCCACCAACTCACTACCTCACAAACACAAAAGCACCTTCAAACCCCAAAAAATGTCCCAAACAATCTACCTAATCACAGGAGCTAACCGAGGTAAGTATCCCTCATTCTCCTTCCCTCAACAACTCTAACGACCCAAGGCATCGGACGAGGAATGACAGAATCTCTCCTCCAACGCCCCAATACCACAATCCTAGCCGGAGTCCGCTTCCCAAGTCACCCAACATCCCAATCCCTCCTCACCCTCCCAGCCAGCACAACCAGCACCCTCCACCTCCTCGCGCTGGACGTAACCTCAACCTCAACCCTTTCCTCGTCCCTCGCCACCCTCCCCAGTCTAGGAATAACCCACATCGATATCCTGATTTCCAACGCGGGGATATCAAACTACTACGGCGCCGCGACCATCACGCCTCTGGAGGAGGTGCGCGAGCACTTCGAGGTCAACGCTATTTGCACGCTTGCGCTCTTCCAAGCGAGTTGGGGACTACTGAAGGAGAGTGGGAACGAGAGAGGTCCGGTGGTAATGGTGACGAGTACGGGGGTGGCGAGTATTGGGGATATGGAGAAGATGACGTGGGAGAGTACGGCGTATGGGATGAGTAAGGTGGCGGTGAATTATGCGGTGAGGGAGATGAATTTTGAGAATAAGGAGATTGTTGCTTTTGTTATCGGTCCTGGGTTGGTTTCCCCCTTTTTTCTTTGATGTTTTGTTGATCTCGCTTCGATGCTCGCTTGAGCGTACTCTTGGGATTTTTGGGGGGAAGGATGTGGAAGGGCGTAAGTGCTGATTTTTTAACGCAGGTGGGTACAGACCGAGATGGGGAATCTGGGGGCAGCGTCGATGGGGATGGAGGAAGCGCCTGTTAGTGTGCAGCAGAGTGTTGAGGGGGTATTGAAGAAGGTTCGTAGGAGCTCCACAGCCCTTCATTTCTTTCTCACTCCCTTCCTTTTCTCTTCCTTCCGAAGCCTTTCTTACTGATATGGGGATTATAGCTTGATAACTCTACGAGAGAGAATACCGGCAGCAGGTTCTTGTCGTTTGATGATGAGATATATTCTTTGTAGATTCGCTTAATTTTCTTGTTCCTTGGTTGGAATCAGTACGCGAGCTGCGAGAGACGAGCTGTTGATTCTTAATAGGAACTAGGAAGTTTGGGTAGGATACAGATCCCAGTTGAAAGCTTTAAATATGCTTAAAAATAAAAACCTAGTGATTTGTCTTACCTCCTTTTTGGTTTCTAACCCATACCCGTATATGCGGAAAACAGCTGGATATACAGCTACCCCTAAACCTTTGAAATCGTAGGAACATTCACCACTCATCACCGAAACCTCAGTCGATTTCAAATAAACGTTTTGGTGTTCATCCGGTGATGCAGTAATATATTGCTTCGTTTATCATTCGTGTTGATACTCGTCAAAAAGCGGCTTTTGTATGGCGGGATTCCGGAGATACTTGCTAATATTTTGGACAATTGTCTCCAAAGTCCAAGAATATGCTTTCGTAATTGTTATAGGCTATTATTCTCTGCCCTATATCCTGAGTCAAATCCCGTAGGGAACCCGAGATCTTGGGAGCTCTCCAATTTGCGCCACGGAATGGGTTACTCATCAAAGTTGCAGCTATACTCAACTACATCATATGTTCTGGAAATACTGTATATAAAAACCATCTACTTCCGCTCAATTCAAATATTTCCCATCTCAATGAATGATCGCTGCTTAACAAGTAGTACTGTTCCTTCGAACATATCTACCTACACTCTGAACCCAAAACCATCAACAAGAGTCGTGGCCGGTGTCACCATCCCAGACACACCACTCATACGCAAAGCAATTGAATACGCTCAAACCAATCTCACCGAGTTCATGTTAAACCACATCATGCGCTCCTTCCTTTTCGGTCAAATCATCGCAGACGGTCTACCCTCGCTGCAAAGTCGAGATACCGAACTTCACGCCGTTGCAGCCATACTCCACGATCTAGGCTGGTCCCAGAACAAAGACCTCATATCCAAAGACAAACGCTTCGAAATCGACGGCGTAAACGCGGCGCGCGCCTTTTTAATGGAAGAAGGGAGGAAAGAGGAATGGGATGTTCATCGTCTTCAACTGGCATGGGACTGCATTGCACTCCACACCACACCGTCTATTGGGTTACATAAAGAGGTTGAGGTTCAGGCTTGCGGAATTGGGATCTTTGAGGATTTTCAAGGTCCTGAGAGGAGCATTGGAGGTGTTTTGACACGCAAGGAATGGGATGTTGTTAATAAGGAGCTTCCCAGAGCTGGGTTTCGTGATGGTGTTAAAGAGGTCATGTGTCAGCTTTGTATTGATAAGCCGGAGACGACATATGATAATTTTGTTGCTGAGTTTGGAATGGCTTTTGTGCCGGGTTATAAACCGACTACATTTTTGGATGGGATTTGGGCGAAATCTGAGGGTTGATTGATTGGATGTTAGATCTGGTTTGCTAGAACAGAACAGACAGGTTCTCATATTTTTCTTATCTCATTTCGTGGGTTTTATCTTGGATTGAAATTATAGCAACACCTGGAATAAAGTTTATCTATTTATCCCATCAATTGTTTTCATGCCTTTGCTTATGAATGTTCTACCCCGCACGAGTACTGTAGTACTGTACAGGGCTCGAGATTCGCACCTTAAATTCTTCCCCGATTAAGCGGTCAAATCGCATTTTATCATCAGTCGGTCGTAGGTATTTTTCTTTCCATTCGCCATTAGGAGAAGCAGATAATGGCCTACATGTATTTCTGACTTTCTAGCCAACGGCTAGAACTTCCCAAATAGGAAGGTGTCTAAATGTCAAGTGTACCACAATCCCCACGATCTAATTAAGCTTCGCCCAGAAAATTGGCAACAAAGCTTCTTCTGCGGACCCTCCCCCCCTTCAACTTACCAAACTCGTATCTAGATAAACACCAGGGTTTGCGCCATCTCGTATATGTATCCGATCCTTGCTAGATATATGCATGCCCGTGAACTAAGCTGCATCTTTATCGTAGTTGAGATATGTTATCTTATGTAAAGATCACTCACAGATCTGTTCTATCAAACTTTCTATATGCAGAGACATGTAGAAAAGATCACACGCAGTTTTCGTGGAAAAACACTGCATATACCTACTCGAAACGGTGCACCATGAAAAAAAAAACACCCGGAGATGATACTGAGATGAGGCACTTATACATTTAGCACGCCATGTATAAAGACGATCTCATTTCCATCCGCGACTTGATCTTCCAACTTATTACCCTTTCAATCAACTCCTTCAATGCGTTTCCAAATTCTCCCAGTCGTTGCAGCCCTTGTATTGCCACTCACGGCAGTTGCATTGCCGGCAAATACTGCGGAAGAAGTACCAGCCCATCTGCGAGCGAAACGTTCTTTCGTCGTTCGAGATGGGGTGGAGCGAACGATCTTTGAGCATGCGGCTTCTGGTGCGACGATAGACTTCGTGACCCACTCTGGAATCTGTGAGACTACTCCTGGGGCCAACCAATACTCTGGATATGTTTCTGTTGGCTGTAAGTTTACTATCAAGCAAGCCAGAATTAGGTTCGCGTACTGATGTATCGATAGCTAACCAGAACATGTGGTTCTGGTTTTTCGAAGCGAGACACAATGCTTCAACTGCACCACTCGCCGCGTGGTTCAATGGAGGGCCAGGATGTTCGTCTATGATCGGCCTCTTCCAGGTAGGCATTCTTACTTCTGAATTTGAGACTTTTCTGATACATTTGTAGGAAAATGGCCCATGTCAATTCTACGACGGAGCTTCCACGCCGTCATTGAACCCATACAGTTTCAACGAGTATGCCAACATGATCTATATCGATCAACCGATCGGTGCAGGATTCTCCTATGGAACCGAAACGGTGACATCGACAGCGACGGCAGCTTCTTATGTGTACGCATTGCTTCAGGCATTCTATGCGAATTTTCCACAATACTCATTGAGAATCGTGATTTTGGGGTTTTCACGGAATCTTATGGCGGGCACTATGGACCAGGTAAAGAGCTCACTGATCATAATTTCGTGGTGTACAGCAATTTATTGATGGCTATTTTCTAGAATTCGCCTCTTATTTCCAAGCTCAGAATAAGAAATCGGGGACCATTGAAGTGCCTTTGGTTGCGCTTGGAATTGTAAGTGTTTTTCGAGTTGTGCCTTTCCTTTTGGCGATTATCAGGGAAAGGAAAATAATTTGCCTCAAAAGACAATGTTGCCTCTATCAGAGTCTGTTTCATAGCCTATATATCATCACAAGATAGGAAATCACTAACCCCTCAATCTCCACCAGAACAACGCCTGGCTCGACCCAGCAATAAACTACAAATACTTTATCGACTACGCCTACAACAACACCTACAAACCCCTAATTTCCACCTCGCGATTCAATTCCCTCACAAGCTATTTCAACAACAAATGTCTCCCCGCCCTCAAGAAATGCACCGGCCTGACAGGGACCGACCAAGCCTGCATCCAAGCCGACAACATCTGCGAGCAAATCGAGGAAACCATCCTGAACGCCGCCGATTTCGACGCGTATGATGTCCGTCAATCATCCCAGGATCCATATCCACCAGAAACATACGTCAACTACCTCTCCAACGCGGCAGTCACAAAAGCCATCGGCGCGAAGAGTGAATACGCCGAGTGTTCCGACTCCGCAGGAGACAAATTCAACACCGCCGGCGACGGTACGTTGCTCACTCCCTCTATCTAATCCAATCCTAACAATCTAGACGCACGATCCCTCCTCAGCACCCTCTCCGAAGTCGTCCAAACAGGCATCTCAGTCCTGATCTGGGCCGGCGACGCAGATTGGATCTGCAACTGGTTCGGGAACATCATCACCGCGGAAGCGGTAAGCTACTCGCAGGCCACGGCGTTCAAAGCGAAGGCCGTGGCGGATTTCAAGGTGAATGGGGTTGCGAAGGGGACGTTTAAGAATGTGGGGAATTTGAGTTGGTTGAGGATTTTTGGCGCGGGGCATGAGGTCATGTATTATCAGCCTGAAGTGAGTTTGCAGGTGTTTAAGCAGATTATGCAGAAGGAGGCTATTAGCAGTACTTGAGGATGTGAGGGGTAGGTGGGGTGTGAGGGATCGTGATGGGAGTAGGAGTGGAATGTAATGAGAGTGGCAGTGTAATGTAATGAGATGATGAACTGATATTCGATAGTTTTTTTTTGAGTTGATTTATACATTCAGATCATGTATATATTCATTAATTGCAGCTTCAAATATCCATACCCAATCGTCCTATAGAGAAAGCCTTGTACCTTGACATTGCTACTTGCTTAGTACTATAACAATGATTCCCACATCGTGCAAACAGAAGTTCAAGCTTCAAGGGCAAGTAGATCTGATAGTCTAGGTGACCTACTGGTGTTTGCCCACGTATCGAGAGGATGTTTTCTAAGCTGATGAAGGATTACTTGGATGTAGAGAAAGTCTCTGAAGAGGTGAAAAGCCCCTGGCAAATTGCTTGGTAATGAAGATGATTTGGTAACAGTATATTTGAGCGTAATTTGACGGCAAAGGTAAAGAGGGAAAATGAAGTGGATAGGAGGGAGAAAGAAGAGAATGTAAGAAAACCAAATTCCTTCCAAAAAATAAAAAATCAATTAATCTAAGAGCTCACTCTATCGCTCGCTAAACATCAACACGAAAAAAACATCGCTAAACTTACTTCCCATTCAACCTCCCTTCCCCATCCAATTCAACCCCCTCAGCCCCCTCAATACCCCTAAGGCAACCCCATAAACAACCCCAACATCTCGGGATAATTCGGCGTTCCCAACCCGGTAACCGGATCCCACCCCTCACTAGCATTAAACCCCCCCGTCCCACAACCCGGATTACTCCCAAACCGCACATCCGTCAAAACCCTGCTATTCCCATACAACACCGGATTCACAAACCCCACCGGTCCCTTCCCCACTGCCGCCCGTTCCTTATTAACCATATTGATGATCACCCCAAACGTCGGCGCCGAGGCACTCGTTCCGAAGGAGATTTTGTTTTGCGCAAAGTAGGAGGTTACGGCGGGGCGTTGGTAGAGGGGCATGGGGAAGATGTTGGAGAAGCCGCCGCCGGAGGAGATTACGCGCTGCGCGGCGACTTCGGGGGTGCGGACTGTGGAGCCGTTGAGGACTTGGGTTGCGCCTATGGAGGTGACCTATGTATCTCAGTTAGTGATTTATTGTACGTATTTGTTGCAGATGATGATATTGATGTGGAATCGTGATTACGAAGGTGCCAAGAGAAACACCGTAAGCGAGGGGAAAAAGGGGTAGGACGGGGAAGGAAAACCCAAGAAACAACCACCCACCCAAGGACACCCCCCAGGAAAAATCGGATTAAAAGCCCCCTCACTCCCATTATTATACGCCCCATTCTTCCCAATACACATCCCCCCATTCCCCGCGACCCCCGAATCCCCACTGGAATACAAAATCGTCACACCCTGCAGACCAAGCTTCATATACTCCGCACACTGCCGCTGCGTATACCGCGCACTCAGATCCGCCTCATTGAACCCATAACTCGTGCTGATCACCTTGGTACTCTGCACCGTCCTGCATGCCTTCGGGCCCGTGTAGCCACCCGGTTGTTTACTCGGGTACTGGCCGTCGATATTCGGATCCGGAGAGTCGCCGCCTTGGAAGTCGCAGTATGAGCCATCCAACGCATCCAGAAAATTGTTAAAGGAAGCGCCGGAGACCAAGTCACCCACTTGATATAGTGTCACTTTCTGGGGGTAGATGAGCGCCATGGCATATTGTAAATCCAGCGCCGACTCGCCATTCAGCGCGAAACTCTGGTTGAGCGTCTGCACCGTCGCGCCGTCAATGAGGAGTGTCTCGGGCGACTGGCCCACCTGCTGGGGCGCAAACTCCCTGAAGAACATATCCAGATCTTTCTGCAGGAATGCTTGGGGCGTGTACTCCACGATACCGAGGGTATTGTTGTTCATCGCCTTGCTTCCTATCGGCATATCATACAAAGCCTGCAGACACGCAACCGTAATCATCGTATCGCAATTCTCCAACGTCATCAGCGCATTAATGATAGCAGGTCCTTCCTTCGGATTCGAGCCATCATCCGCAGACCCAACGATTCCCTTCCCAAGATCTCTTTTCCTGGTCCGCAGCTCCACCTCTCGCTTATTAACCATTTGCAACGAGGCAGGAATCTGCTCACCGTGGAGCATATGTCGAGGCTGCAGGACCTTCTGATCGAAATCCACAGTGGGGGTAATGATATCAATATGTCCCAACAGATGCTCCGGAATACTATACTCCTTACATGCAATATGTTTATGTCCCGTGTCATGGCTATACATATGATACTCCGCGCGGAGCAACCTCTCGGCTTCCTGCACTGTGGCATTGAACTCGAGCCAGCTCCTAGATCTCGAGGTTCTGATCCGACTCCCCTCGATGCCTTCGGCTGACAACCATGCTTTCACAGCATATACCGTCTCAGGCGAAGAAGCAAACACCTCTGCGACTTTTTCAGGTGTCCAATGCTTTCCGTATCTCGCTGATGCGGGGTGGGAGACCTCGTGTATGAATTCCTCGGCTCGATGGATGTTTTGCTGCATCAACCCTATCCGTAGCGGAAAGACAGCTCGAGGATGTAGACGGTGTTGTTTTGCCCATTGGTGGGGATGTACCATCCGTCGTTTGTGTACGACATGGTTTGAAGCTTTGAATGGGGATGTCGACACCGCCACCACCAGGGCAGCAAGAACATGAACAATAAGCTGGACACGCATTTTACAAAAATGATGAATGCCAAGAAAGGAGACACCTTCTTTACCAGGAGACTGTGGGGTTTCAATGATATGTATTACTATCCTACTCCTACATACAGAAAAGGTGCACTTCTCTCCTTGCTAAGACTAGCAAATCACGGAAGGACGCTTGGATTGAAAACCTTGGGTATGATCCCATCTTCCGGTGAGCTCTGCGATGTTTTCAACAAGTATTACATCCATCCGATGTAGAGCTCCAACAGAGCTGTAGTCCATACAGTACTCGGCAAGTAACTTTGCTGAAACAGGCGAAGTTTGTGACCCTCAAAATGGCATACATGGAAAGGGGACCTTGCATCCAGTAGTCTCGGAAGGGGGAGCTAAGTTTTCATTTCTCCTAACTCCCCAGGTGCATAAGCTGCCAAATGAATCATCGCGGATCATAATTGGGCTATTCTATCTTTCTTCCGACGCCGACTTCGAGGCTTGAGGGTAAACCCATGCTAGAAGGTGCACTTGTCTCTGTACTTCGCGAACGAAACGAAAACTTCGGATGTTTTTTTCCAACATCCGAGGCCGCGTCATATCACAGGCTCAATTGAAGCACGCTGTGAAACCATAACGAAATATTCAGCCGGACTTCAATTTGTTATATTTATCCAGTGTTTTCTTTTGTAGCTCCTGCTGTTCCTGAACAACTTTCCATAGTTCTGCATTCTCCTTCTGAAGCTTATCATCTCCACTCGAAGATGACCCAGAAGGTAAAGAGAATCTGGAAATTGCGTCGTCGAGTATATCTGCTGGAAAGCCCAACGATTGAACAACATTATCCAAGGATGTGGTTGGCGGTGGTCCACACAACTGAGCAGTAAAGGTATATTGAACTTCTCCAATTTTAGGCTTCACCACATTGATAACTTTGGTCATCCTTTTGGGAGCAAAGGGGGATAGCATTAGGAGATTGGTCACTGGCGCGTTCAAATCGACAAGCTCAGAAACAAAAGCACGGCGACCTGTGTCCCACTGGAAAATCTTGCCTGAAGCATGGCCAGATATTATATGTGTACCATCATAACTAAGGCCAATGCAAAAAGCAGAACCAGCCTCAATTGGTGCAGTCCATGGAGGAAGGGTGACTTGTACAGGTGTTGTTTGTAAGCTTGGATCATAGAGCGGATTCAATGTAGATCGGGCGTTGAGAATCTCAATGACTTGTAATGATCCATCCTCAAATCCAGCGTATACGGCTCGGTGACACGGATCGAGAGCCAGACAGAGCGGTGTGTCCGGTAGCAAAAATGTCCGAAGCAAATCACCCGTATGGTGGTTCCAGACAATGATTGTGTTATCCCGGCTTGCTGAAACACAGATGTTGGTCTGGTTGGTGCTTTGGCCCATTGCAAGTGAGGTAATGGCAGCTCGATGGTTCGATAGGGTCCTGACAGGTTCGTGGTGGGTTTCACCCGCACCTAGCGCCAACAGGCGGGGTATTGACCAGACGTGAACATTGGAATCTTGCGAACCGGTCGTGATGTGGGATCGTGATGATGCTATACAGGTGACCGCCTGGAGATGAGCAGCGGGCGTGGAGACTGTTCGACCAGTGCAGACCTGATTTCGGTCAGTATATTTCAACGTGATACCTGATAGCTGGAACACATGCCTCCCAGAGTATCATTCTCCCCTCGACTGTGCCAATTGCCAGTGTACTTTCCCCCACGAGGGCCAGGCAGTGTATGCGTTCTGGAAAAGCGACTGTCGCCTCCTGTTTCCCCTTTTCCCTTTCCTCCCTCGAGTATACATGGACGACGGCCTTATCTGCTTGAGCAGCAAAGATGTGGGTGGTGCTCACAGCGAGGGCGTTTACAGGCGCTGAGCTCCTTTTGAAAGAGGATTTAATTGCGTGGGATGGCTGCAACCCGTGCATGTAGATACCGACATCTTTTGCGATGGCTGTGTTTGCCGTCTTGGGTTGGGCCCGGATGGCGGTGATGAATCCTTCCGACAGCATGACTACAACCTCCTCCCTTTGCCTGCTCCCTGGGATGCTGTACTACTCCTTGAGCCAGCAGGGTGGGTGAGCTGAAGAAGAGGAAGGGCTGGCAAAGTCGTGCCGGTTCCGCGAGAGGAGAATTTGGACGGAGGATTGGAGAGAGATATGGGCCGCGATGGAATTGACTCGTCAGAAGGGCCGCACTGCAGATTCTGATACAGTTGGACAGCTACGAAGACTTGCAGACTCGAGCATGCAAGGAGGGTCGGATGGATGCGCTCGTGGTGTTGTGGCATCGAATGTTGCAGGTGAAGAACATCTGGTGAAATCTAGTGATGGAGGGGCGGCCATTGGAGCCAGGAAGAAATTTGGCTGCCAAGCTCACGCCAAGCGATGCAGCTCAAGCTCCCCTGCTGAACATCATTTTCTCAACAACACCAATGTTCCTTCAGTCTCCACACATCTACAGCCTCACACTTTGGTATCATTCATTATGGCCTGTTCCAGTTGCTAGTGCAGTGGTACTGCCGATATACCAGCAAGCAACAGCTACCATAATCAATAAACTTCCACGAGATGATTCATCCTCACCCGAAGACGGTTGAAGTGCACTTGCGTCCACCCCCCTTTTCGTCTATTATCTACGGTATACTCGAATAGTCACTTACAACGCATCCGAGACTTCCACTCTCTCCTATTCTCCTTTTATCTTCGTCCATCTTTCCTTGAGGCTTCCATCTCGTACAACTTGACATGTCGCTAGCTTGCTACCCCTCTTCATGGTGTTTGTTCATTCGTTCTCCTCGTTCTTCCCCAACGCCACGAAACTTGCTTTTTCTCCCACACCTCTGCTCGTCAATCAAAACAAAGAAATTGAGTCGAATATTGACCCTCCCGGGATCTTCATCTCTCCCCTTCAATAGATATCATCTGCAAGGGGCAGGTGTTCCAGTATAGTGCATCATGAAGGGTATTCATCGAGATCTTGCTTACCTGTAGGCCTTCTCTCCCATTTCTGTCATCTTCAACCCAATTCCCATCTTCTTTTTCTTCACAACTCAAACTCTCGGGAGCTATAGCCAAAACGACAAAGTTTCCTGTCATTTCCATCTCGTTTTGGGAAGAAACTTTCATGGATTTAAATTGCAACTGTCGGTTTGGTCGTATTGATCAAAGCTGGGGATCGACAAACTTGCCCGCGCCTCGCATATATCATGAAGCATCATCCATAACATCACATCACGCTCGGCAGAATTTCTATGGCCAGATTCCCACGCTGTTACGAGCACCCGCAATCATGCAGCAAACTCCCGAGGTGCAAAGTAGTAGCATGATTCGTGCTGCCCGAAGAGTCTCTAGCTGCCTATCCGTCAAGACTTCAGTCACTAGAGTTTCTGGAATGAAAGCTCTTCTCCCTTTGACACTCTCTACTACCTCTTTTGATACACAAGTATACAGACCACAACAAGCCGAAGAGTTTGAGTCTCCAACTACCACTATCAACCGCTTCACGTTTGGAGGACACGACGAATCTCCCAAAAAGCAAAAGTCACCGAGATCCAAGAATCTTTCACGAAGAGGTGGTAACTTTCCTCGCTTGCCACTATACATTCGTCCAGAACGTTGTGATATACCTGTATACACAGAACACGGCTCTCCGGTTCCTAGTCCGGCCTACTTTACTTCACAGTTTTCAAATTCGAACAATCTTTCTCCGACGCACTCATCATCGGATGAAGACTGGGCTGCTGCATGTTCTAGTCTAAATACTGAGACTTCTCGTCCCACTGATAGAATGTACACCTTGGCATGACCAACCTCCACCTCTATGATGACATAGTGCTAACTCTTTCAGGATGCTATCAAGATATCCCCAGACCAATCATTTGGTAGTTCAACTAACGGAAAGGATGCAAAGTCATACGACAGCTCCGAGATGTCGTTCCAATGTTTGGGTGAACATGGTGATGTCAAAGAGCCAGATGGATCCAAGAACCACTACGATGAAATGGCCAATCTTGACCCCATGTGCTTGCCAGATATACTCGCCCAAAGTATGCCTCCAGAATGTATAGTTTGAGGGTTGGCTTGGCTCAGCTCACAGCACTGATGATGAGTGTGGTTCTGTAAGTAACACGACTACCGTACCCAAGCTTTTACTAAACTCTCTTAGATATCTGAAGCCTTACCTCCTCCAGTATCAATGGGTAGAGCTTCAACAGCATTCGATTCGGCGTTCGAATTGCAACCAGGTTCCTCGTCTATAACAGGAGCTCGACCAACCATGATCTGGAATTCCAGAAGCAAAATACGAACTAATGGTATGACAACCTACAACAGTAGCCCTTTGACTGCCTACGACAGCCACGCTCCATCACCAACATTCGATACTGAGTCAATTGCCTCAAGTGCCACGTCCCACGATGAGCCACCCACCCCGCCTCCAAAGGAAAGGAACTATTCTCCCCGAATACCCTCCCCACGGCATCTCATCTAGCAACCCATTCCAGCATCCACAGCCGAATAACCTTACCCTAGACGTTCGCGAAAAAAACGCAAATCTGCATGGCTGCGCACTATCCATAATCGAAGAACTTATTCGTTATTTCCCATTCAGTACGTTCATCGATTACAGACATCACATCTACACCGTACGAACACAAATACATGTCTACACCTCACAGCCAACAAGTGACCTCCTTTCCTTAATGCCTCTGAAGCAATCACCTATAACACCCTCACCATTAACACCCAGTAAATCCCCACCTTCGAGACGGATGACCCTTTCCCTTTCTTCTCTTACACGAACACGCACTGCTTTCACAGCTCGATCTAGGACACCTTCGCCATCCCCGTGTCCCGACAAAGGCATCAATCGGACGACATTCGGAAAAGCAAGACCGGAAACGGGTGACAAGGACAAACAACCACAGCCGGCTCAGGGAAGGATAAACACACATCTCGATCTCGAGCCTCTGCAAAGGATCTTCCCCAATGCTACGGGTGCCATGATCCAAGCCCTCTACGCCTACCTCCTAGCCTACATCCTCCTCGAACACATCCGTCCCCCTCCTACCACTTTCCCCCCTCACACCCACACTCACCCCACCACCCCCTCCCGACGCGCAAACTCCATCGCAACCACCTCCCCAACCCGCACCCCCTCCAAAGCCGCCGATCGCCTCAGCATCCCCTTCCCATCCCCCTCCCACCCAAACGACAACCCAGAATGCAATCCCCAAGTCACGGGCCTGATCCAGGATTTTGTACTTGCGCAGCGGATCCGCGATGTGAGGGGGTGCTTGGAAAGGAGTATTTTCTGTTTGCGTCGGGGTGGTGGGGGGGATGGAGATGGAGTCGTGGGAGGGGATCGAGGATATGGGGTTGAGGGAGAGGAAGAGGGTCCGAAGGCGTTTTTGGAGGGTGTTTTGGGGAGGTGTTTGGTTGAGGTTGTTAGGGGGTGTGAGGGTGGGGGAAGGGTGGGGGAGTAGGTGGTTTTGTATTGGTATATTTTTCCTTTCTCTTACACTATTTCTGTTTTATTTTATTTTTGGATTTTGTACTGTACTTGTTCTTGTCCTTGTTCCTGCCTTCATTCCCCGTCGAATACCAAATTGCTATACTACTGTAACACCTTTCTACCTATCTTTCCATGTTCACTATCTGTTTGTCTTTTTTTATAAGTACCTTATATCCCTATTCCGGTCCATCTCCTACGGCGTCGTTGTTTTACTTACTTACTACTATATCTATACCTCATGTATTCTACTCCTGTTTTTCTCTTCACTTCACAAATTCAAACACCATTTACTATTTCGCTACTTCCGAAAAATGGCTTAACATGTTTTTTTACATAGACGAATAACTTAACTTAGTTTAGGTTAGTATAACTTTCTTCGCTTAAAGAACGTGGATATCTACTTAACTCTATCTTCAGAATCTTTCAAAAAGCCATATCATAATATAGAGAAATTCCATCTCCTACTATCCTAATCCACCATCATCTTTTCCCACTACCATAAAACATTTTACAAACCTCCCCAAAATACAAAAAACCACCTCCAAATTCTCCGCACAAACCGGTCGTTACTCAATACTCAATATACTATACAAAACCCCATTATACAGAACTTATCCTACAACTACTTTCATAAAAGAATTATCTTAGAATACCTAGATTACTATAGTAAAAAGGAAGAGGTAACAATTATTCTATGAGGAGGGTGTTTAGATGGGGATTTTGGTTGTGCGATGGTTTTGGGAGAATTTAATTTTATTCTGAGAGATGTGTAAGGCTGTAGAGTAATGATCATGTTTGTTATGTATATATAGTAAGGTGGCTAAGGTCAATTTATCTATCTATACTCTTATTTCCACCTATAGGTAGTAAAAAAAAATAGAAAGAATAATCCTCCTTAAATCTCTTAAAGTTCAAATGAAGAGATTAAAGAAGTACTTCTCTTTAATTCAGATTTAGACTTAATTAGCACAAGAAACTTCACGATGTGGAGTTGACACTATGAGAATACACCTATAGCCTATTAGCCAAGAATGATGTTTCTCATTTTCGACCACAGGGAGTCTGTTTTCCATGCAATATGCTGTACATAGACTATTGGACCGTATAGTTGGTGGTGAGATGGAAGTATCGTTTATATTTCAGTGGGACGTTCTGGCTGCCAATTAGGATAAGCCAAAGTACGATTACGATCCGTGATCTTCATATGGTAGATATTGACGAGGGTGGATATGAACCCCGCCTGCGGAGAACTGTAGCAAGTACCTGGATCTATATCGATTTCATCGATGTCTATGGTACTACCAGCAAGTTCTTCAACAGGGTCAAGGTTCGGGGTGACAGATATTCTTGAGCGAGTTTTGTTGGTTGGAGGTACCTTAGTACCTCAGTCACACGGCAGTATACTGAAATGCACCAAAAACAGAAGAAGTGTCGATGAAATGCTATGGTACTACCATGGTCATGGCATGGAACATGTTCTGAAGACCTAGTAATCACCAGTGGAAGGATGACACTCTCATAGGATCTTTGGTGGAGCATCTTTCCTACATCTTGCGCAGTCAGAAAACGTTTGATAGGACATTTGATTTTGTCCCCTCTATAGTGCTACTGGCTCAATTTGGAAAGGCTGCCATGCCAAAGTGCGAAGCCAGGCGAGCACGAGCACTCATTGCTGAAGGGACATGCCTCCCAACAGATTTCAAAATAAAATAAAAAAGGAGAAAGGATAAAGGGCAAGAAAATCACGATGTCCAACTATCCGCAGGGTTTCGTTGAAATGGCACCATCTCGCGTACCAGTTCATGACCCATGCTGGAAGATACTTGGTTTCTTTCCACACTGCGGAAAGCCACTAATTCGAGTCGCGAAAGAAGCAGAGTCTGCCTACAGCGCAACAGCGAAGGGGCTATGCAAAGAAGAGGAGAAGTCTTTCCCGGAAGAGTGGGACCGGGTACAGCAAAACGGTACCTTTGCTGGCATCGAATTGCTGCCCTGATTCAAAGAACTCAATTTGGTCTCGTGTGGTGCTTCCTACCATCTATCCAGTATCAAGAGCGGCGTTTTGAGGCTGCTTTTTTGAGGGATTTGTGTTTCTATTGGTTGCTGCGCGCCGCCTTGAAGTTGGATGATATTAGGACAATTCTTACTCTATCCAGAAAGAAGCGAGTTATCTCGTCTCGTGGCTTGCCAATTGTGATCGGATTGATCGTATCCTGTCTGGGAAGTAGCTGCCTCTTGCTTGAGGGGACTGGTAGGGTGACCAGACCTGGATTTGAGCAACAGAAATTAGTATGTTCTCGTATATAAACAATGGGCGTCTACTGTTTAGAAAGCTCGCAGCAGTGGTGATTGTTGTGTAGGATAGAGCGGTGTTAAATTGTTATCTGTGGTGTTGGAGTGTGGAGTGCTGTTGACGAGAAAAGTGGTTTAGGTTGCGGGGTTGCTCCTTTACAGTAGCTGGCGTAGTTTAGATTTTGTTGTTGGTATAGAGATATCACAGATATCAAGGGCAAGGAAATAATAATAAAGGTAAAAACAGTGGTTCTAATAATTGTATTGTTCTATCTATCCTGTGGAATCCAGGCATATATAGGTAGGTACAGTAGCCCTGGATTAACAGGTGATTTAACACGTGAATGTGTCGCGACATTTATATTTCACGCTAGACTTTTGAGCCGTACTAATAGCCATCTACGCTTGCTGCTTCATGTTTTGGGTTACTCAGAACTGTCGCGTTGATCTAATCGTTTCTTTCTTTCTTTCCAAGCTATCGTTGAGCTGGAATGCTCGTCGTGGTAATATGTAATTCTTGATCTCAACGCAACAGTTTCAATTTAAAGGAAGTCTTCTATCCAGTTGATGCCATGTTTGAAGTATGAGGATATTGACGAGCAATAGGGCTTCGTACGAGAGGGTAGAAGCCCTAATGATTCACTAGAAATCTGCCATGTTCGGGTACAGTACTAGCCATTCTAGATGGTATATCGAGATCTACGAGTACATCATCACATGGCATGGTCAAAGCGTGATACATCAAACCCCCCGATCCTTGATAAACTCTCCTTCTCCAACGACCACCGATACACTTCTCAGCCTTCTCCACGTACATTGTATACCAACACTCGCGTTAGCCATGTTTCCTCAGTTACCGGATGAGATATCACTCACTATCCTTAACCAGGTAGATTAACCGCTCTCTCAAGCTCACCCTCAAAAACTCCTCCTTTGCTAACTCTACATAGATCACTGCCACGAGAGACTTGAAGCGCCTTTGTGGAGTGTCCAAGGGGTTTTATAGAGCACTCATTGACAGATTATATGAAAAATATGTTCTCCGGCCCTTGAACGAGAATGCGCTCGATGATTTGAATTGGTTACCGGATACCAAAGCTTTTCGAAACCTTTGTAAAGTCAAGAATTTCGCCGTGTCATCGCATTTCCACAACAGAACAGAACAGCGATGTATACACTCCCCTGATGATGTGGTTTGGAACCAGGCGGGCCAGGAGGGGATGGAAGTTGCTGCACGTGAGTATTCGACTCACAACACCGAGGATTTTCGCAAAATAGCTCGTCGCCTGGCCGAGGTTATTTTCAGTCTGCCCAAGGATGGTTTGCGATCTTTTAGGTGAGTGATCGCTCAGGATTCTCACCACGATCATGGCTGAATCTCCCCTTAGATGGGAAATAGGTAGTTGTATTCCATTAAACCTCATGTGGTGTCTCATAGTGACCCAGCCATCGCTCAAACATTTATCACTAATACTTGGTGATCTTTGCATGGTCGAGAACTGGAGTCCTCCCAGTGAATTCCATTATCCCGAAGACTTTACCTCGATTGAAGATTGCATTCGAGATTGCGTTTTCAGTCAACTTGAAGAGCTTTCCGTGGCCAACAGAAACATCGATGTTGATTTCGTACATGTCGGCAAAATTCTCGGGGCCAGTCGACAAACCTTGACTAAGATTGAGCTTGATTTTATATACGAATTTATGCTTGATGACTTTGAAGATGTGGACGTCGAGGACTTCGCAGATGAGATTCTTCATGTAGACCTCAACGAGCCGAGAAGCTGCAGGTTCCCTGCCCTGAAAACGCTCGCCCTCGGAGGACTTGACATGGTTAGAATCGCTGAAGCGACCTTACATGCATATAATCTTCCCCGTCTAGCTTCCCTGAAATTTCGAAATTGTAATGGAACCAGAGAATGTCTGGGAATTTTACTCGATTACGACAAACCGATCGACTTGACTTCGTTGGAAGTCTATAGTACCCACAGAGGACATGACGACATGAATGATTTATACTATACCATGCACTCATTCCTCAATACATACGATGGCCTCGAAAACTTATTTCTCGGTTTCAATGCCTGTTCAAAGCTTGTAAATGGGGGCAGGTTTCCCCATTTCGTGGGACTGGTAAACAAGCAAGGGAAAAACCTCAAGAGATTTGCGCTACATGCCAGATATCTTGACTATGGTAACGGGGTTCCAGAGGGCCAAGGTCACGATATACTTGATCTGTGTTATACGGATTCAATTTACGATGGTCTTTTCAAACTAGACAATGTCGCCCACCCGTTCTACTTCTCAGCCTTAGAGTGTTTGGGCCTGAGCTACGAGCCTCATACTCTGGTCAGTACCTGTCTATTCCAAATCTAATCTGCTAAACAAACTTACAATTTCTACAGCGAGGCCTAGTCCTGCCTTTTACACAGAAATCCACCCTCAAAATCCTTCACATGAGACGATCAGGTCAAGACCGAGATCTCCGCGGGCCAATCACAGATCGAGGCTGGGATATAGTAAGCGAAGAAGCAGGCCCAAGTTCGCCGCGTTCCGATACCAGCTCCGAATCGTCATTTGAGCCATTCATCGGTCCACTCCCATTTAATCCCAATGAAGCTATCACTGAGGAACTCTCTGACCCCCTCATCACACCACCACAAGCGGACCCAATGTATCCTTTTCACGCAACCAAACGATATGAAATCATCCAACTACCCGGCGCCATTTTTGATTTTCTGAATTGGCTTTTTGGGCCAGATGGTGTGAGGTCGGTGCGTGTTTTCGCATATGGGGATTTCTCACATAACGGCAGGTTTAGAGCTTACAATCATATCTTTTGTCGAGGAGATGCTTCTGGTTATGTAGATCCTGAGCCTCAAGATAAACCGGAGCTTGAGTTGAACTGGAGACCGATTCGGGCGGATGATCATGAGCTCTGGAGCTTGATTGAGAGGAATAAAGATTTTCTGGGGAGCTGTCCGACGGATCCTTTGGTTGATGATTATTAGTGTTCTTGGGGATGAAAATGCGAGGGTACGTAAAGTATTGTGGTTTTGTAAAAGTGTGTATCTGATGTACTTGCGAGTTAGAAATACTTCTCATGGTTTCTTGTATGTATAGGATTAGCTCAAGTGTTGCGGATAGAACGCAATTTATGAAGTTTCAAGTCTAACTAAACGCGACCCAAGAACAGATATGAAAGTGGGCTTCATGAATAGGAGGGGAAAGTGCCATTTAGTCTCCAAAAGCTCTATTAATGAAGGAAGAACAACTGATTCTTTCTAAGGAGGTATATTGAGGAAGGAAAGCGCGTATTGCTCTGATGTCTAGTACACATGGAAGGGGCTGGTTTTCTGAGCAAACTCAATACTTGTGATTAGCACCTTCTTCAATTCAAATGCCAATATATCAAGATAGGAAGTAGCGACCTAAATGTAGGCTAGGTAGCTGACCTAGGTAAGTTGTTTCGTTGTCTTTCGTTTGTCTCTTACCCCTTAAGTTTTCTACGGTAGGTATGCAAGGTTAGCTACGTACAATTAAAGGGATCCAATTATGCTCTATTAACAAATTAAGAGCATTACTTCTGTTTGTTTATGTTAGGTAGTGAATACCCAAGAGGGTCAGAGTTAAAGCAGCGACCCCACCCCTGTCACGCTAAACCTTGGCACTGGGACCCTTCCTCAGGTTGACGCGACAGACCTCATGTTCACCATCAACACTGCTTCACACCAATTTTTCTTCTGCCTGCATAGGTATATTCTGCCCACACCTCAACACCACCAATTGCATGATCGCGGGTGTATTTCTTCATCTACCAAGATTCTACGGCTTGGATGCGTCTTCTCTTTGATCGCCACATCGCAATTTAAGCTCCACCCTGGTATCTTGCGCATAACCTAGTGGGTGCACAGCAAGTCACGCCCCTCCAACCATGGCCAATCCATGGCTTGACGTAGCTGACAGGAACTATGGTAATGTACCAGAACTGTGGTAAGTTATATAAATCCAACTTCATCTAATCTACAGCTGCCCCGACTTCTCCATGAGTTGGCATGGAGGATCTATTGCGCGAGAGGCGCGATGAGTCTACTCTCAAGTCCTATTACTGGCCAACCAGGCGTGTTCGCCTTCAATTTTTCTCTGGCAACGTTGATAACATAGACTAATAACATCTTAGTGAAAAATTGGGCTATCCAGCTGGACCCGTGGCTGGGCGAAAGGGATCAGTATTTAAGAATAGCGCTGCTACGTACCGTAAGAGCGTACCTGAGCTTGACCCGACCCGCCCAAGATGCCCCCTTGATGCCAATGACCCTGTTGCCATTGAGTATGCAAGAGGTTGGATTGAAGAAAACAAGGCTCTTTTTGCACGCTCTGAGGCAGCAGAACTTCATGGTTGGCCCATCTGGCCTAATGACGAGGAGCAGTAAGGCATCGCCAGCATCTCTCATTTTGATATACGGCTAATGAGAAATCCCAGCATTGTAAAGCATGTCGCATGGTTAATGTGTACTCAAGAACGCTTTTGGCGTGCCAACCAAAATTATTTCGCAAAGCAGAAGTCGTAAGTTGTTGTTCGACTTTCTCTAGAGGTTTACAAACTTACATGGCCAGGTTTAACGGACAAGATGCTGATACTAGCATTTCCCACTCCCCCAGAAATCCAAGGCCAGCATCACCAAACACCGCCGGCATCGCGGCAGATCAAGAGCGCGAAATTGTGTCAGCCAACATCAATGTTCATCTCCGCTTCGCATATCCTCTTGATGGTATTCCTGTCATGTCGACGAATTGGCTGTTTCAACCTCTGGTCATGTCACAAAAGATGATTGATACAGAAGAGGTAGACCCGTTTGTTGTTCGGTATTTCCATGAGCACAATCTCTATCATACCCGTGATAATGCCAAAGTCGAGCGATTTGTTCAGGATACTATTAGACACTATGTCTTGAGACGTGAGAACATGGAATGGGACTATCGAGTCCGCACTCGTTGTGAGCAAGTCATCAAGGAGTTTGCCAAAATTTGGAAGCCATATGCAAAATCGGGCTATGGATTTCTTGAGGATGGCCCTCGTGGGGCTCAGAAGACACTCGAATTTGAAAAGAAGTGGTCTGATTGTCGAAAGGTATGTATACAACATCCTTGGGTCTATGGCACAATACGGGACACGTCTTATCGAGTCTCACTGCAATTCACCATCATTGTGTGCTAATTTCCAACTTCTATAGCGCTGGCTTGATACGATCCACCAAGGTGTGAGTGGCCATGTCATCGAATGGAACAATAATCCCCGGCTTGTTCATGCGGGTGATGCCAGCAACATTAACGGTGTTCGTAAGAGAGAACCTCAGAGCGCCAATAAATCTGCAAGATCCACCCCAAATAATCGACCGCAAGGAAAACGCGCACGACTTGATCAATCCAACTCCTCTGTTGTCAAGCGAAAGGCGGCATCAGCAAATTCAATTGGCAAATCAAGCATGGCAGATACGATCACCATCGATGATACTGATAGTGAAGAGGATAGGTCAAACGGTGTTTTCCAACGTTCATGCAATACGATTCCGCCTGATCCGTATCTAATCGCTCTTGACGAGTACGACCGCTATACAGGCGCCCAATCTGGAGGAGAGAGGAAAGCAATCCGGACATCAAGCAATTCTAGAGCATCTCTTCCTGTAAACTCCTCGGTGGGTTTCTCTGGTGGTCGTGATTCTTCCTCACCACAAGTGGCCCGTCCTTCCCGCCGCTCAATTGGTGGACACATGACTATGATGGCACCTCAGCCAAAGCCTGCTAGAGTTGCCGAATATATATACCCACCACAAGATGAAGAACACCTCCCTGTAAGCCGGGCTCCTTCTCTACCTGACAACCTTCACAGCGAACTGAATAGTAAGAAGAGCCTTGCCGAACTTATTGCATCGCAAAACCTCCCCATCGAATTCACACCACTGGAATCAAAGATGAACACGATGAACGGACCCTCTCTTTACTCATCCTTCAATGGAACCTCTAGTCTACCAACCTCCAACGGCCGAAATGCCTCCCTCAAATTCGCTATCCAAGACGAGACAGGTGTCCCCGACGACGAGCCCTCGAGTCTAGTCTCCAAGAAGCAGATCTATGATATGTCTCTCGCTGATTTGTTCATTATGGTCGCGAATAAATCAGGCATGTCGGAGCAACATTTGACTTTACTTACCCTGCGTTGTCAATGGGAGCAAGCTAGTTTTGTGGTCTCCAAGTTGGCAGGCGAGGAACCTTGGAAGAGACAGAAGAAGAAGTTGAATTCGCTGTTTGTGGGTGCGCAGGGGGAGTTCCCGGAGGAGGACGAGTTCGAGGTCTGGGTGCTTTGTGGAGATCGGGTTAGTAAGAAGAAGAGTCTGAAGGCGGAGGATGTGGAGATGGGGATGTGAAATATGAGTTGTGAGTTTTGGGGCTGCGTTGCGTTGCGTTGTCATAAGACGCGGTGTTTGGTTGAGCATTTGTCGTGAGTGGACTTGCGTCTACTATTCGTTGGTGATGATTTTGAGTGCGCGTTGCTTTTATGTGTTCATATGGATATGGGGTTGGCGGATGAGTACGGGTCGGATGGGGATGAGTTCCTCGTGGGTACAAGGGGTGGGTGGGCCCTGCGAGATGTACTATATTTGTCCTGTACATTTTTCCCTTCTTCTTTCCTTCTTCTTTACTTCTTCTTTCCTTGTTTCCTTGACACAAAAGGGGCGATGTCTTATCAGCAATTTGTGGTTGGTGGTAGAGGATCTTTTGGGAGGGCCAAGTGTATCATATGGTATGTTATGGTACGGGACACATCGACAATCACAGACAGGTACAGACACAGAGGCAGAGATTGATATAGTCTGGATTTTTGAAGGGCTTTTTGGTGTGTGAGCTGCCTATTTAATTGGTGTTGTTGTTACCAGGGGTTTTTTAGGGTGGGGGGAAGGGTGTAGATAGGTAGATAGTTATGGTACAGAGAGTGTGTTCTTTGAGTGAAAATACAGTTCGAGTATAGTAATTTTTATGTATCCTTTTTTTGTGACGTTTGAATGGGGGATTGTTGTGTAGAGTGTGGAGTTTATTGTGGTGGAGGGTAATAGAATGATGGGACGGGGTGGATGTCGGGTAGGTCTAGTAGGTATGTATGGTATACTAGATCCTAGACAGAGAATGGAAAGGGATATAGAATAAGGAGCTTTGGAACTTTGGGGTATCAATCTTTTTTCTTGATTATAATGGGGGGCGGGGGGGTTTGATGGTAATGTATTGTAAAAATGCTCTTTTTGTCTTCCCTTTTCCCCTTCTTAGAGTGGTGTGTCGGATTCCATGCTTTTCTCTCCCAGTCCTTTGGATGGGTACCTTATGTCTCTCAGCTGAATCTACCCTAGCAGCCTGGAAGTAATACTGTACACACTAATACTTTCGCCATGAGATATATGATTCAACACCGATACTCTCCCATCCACTGCGCAAGCCGTAACATAACACCGCTTTCTCATCGTCCCAATACATTATTGCTAGTATTCTCTTAATCTCTATAATCATAAACCCGCCATCTCCCCCACTCAGAAAATCTTTCAATCCCCTCTTTCCAGATCTTCCAAAATAAGTACTTCAACACAACCCTCTGAATCTACACCCGAATCTTCTCGCCATGACGTATATGAGGAAATACTCCCCCATCCACTGAGTATGATGTAACACCATTTTTTCGACGTCGCGTCGGCGTCATCCAGGAGGATAAGGGATGCGTACCCCCCGCCACGTTTCTGTAAGTTCATCCGGTGGGAATCTAACGCCATGAGACCTGGAGACTTTTCTTCACCACGCTTGCGGGGAGGGACCTCGATTCGAGTGAGTACCAAGATGGGTGCCGTGAGAGGGAGACGCTCCATGAGATCGCTGTGGATGGGGGGTTGGAAATCAGATGAGATGTACGGTACCTCTCCATCTGTCTTCGAATCACTAAGTCCATAATGCTCACCCCGAATAAACCCCAATATCCCCTCTTGCGCTCCGAGAACCTCATTTCGCAATTCCGAGTTTTGTAGAAAGTCTTCGTGGGCGCGGAGTGATGGCCAGGAGGCGAGGATGTAGATGTTTAATTTCTCATGATTCTTGGATGGGGAGAGCTGTGTGGATGAGGGGATGGGTGTGTAAAAGCGAGAGTTTGTGGCGTGGACTTTGGCTGTGAGGTGGGTGCGGACTTGTCGGAGTGCGGTGGTTATTGAGGGTTTTGAGGGAGGGGTTGTGTTGGAGGGGTTGGATGGGGATGGGGTGCGGAGGTGGGTTAGTTCTAGGATTGGCATTCTTAAGGAGGTCTTTTTTTGGTGTGAGAGAGGTGAGGGACGTAGTAAGGGGGTTGTTCAATGGTTCTTGGTATCTTTGCTTGATTGGGTTGTTAGGTAGGTTTACGAGTAGGGTGGGAAGCCTGGGGTTGGTGGGGTTGATGCGGGGTAATATCTTGTCCAGAAGCAGGGGGAAGGCAGGAAAAAGGTCGGAGATAACTCCGTAGAGTATCAACTATAGTAATCCTATACAAGTACCAATTTTAAAAAAGCTATTATAAATCAATAGTCAGGGGGAACTTGTAAAACAGAAGTTCGCTAGCTAGCTATATTATAAGATAGGATTTATAATTTAAGCTAATAACTAACTTTTTGAGAAAAGGTTTAACGTGTAAGAAAATACAGGACTTTTTGGAACTGATCGTCAGTACTGTAGATTATTCATGTCTTTTGTATTGGTTACATTACTAAAGAGCTTCCTGCATCTGATGATCTCACGTATACTTGTATTGTGTGATGAGTAAACAACCATAAGCTTCCTCTCACAACGGCATCATAATTCCGAAGTCTCATCTACCCATCCCCTTCGTATAACCCGAAGAAAAAACAACAGCAACTTCTCAAACAAGCAAACTTCATCAAGCCCCAAAGCTACAGTATCCCCGAATCCCAATCTGCAATCTCAAATCCGGAAAAACAAAATGATCCCCAAAACAACCCACACATACACAACCTCCCCCTCTACCTTCCCTCCACTTAAAACTAGACATCTACCACCCCCTCCCTCTCCACACACAAACCCCAACACAACCCCAGCACTTCTCTACTTCCACGGCGGGGGTCTCGTGGCAATGAATCGGTCGTTGATACCACTTAATATCGTACAATCATGTATGAAACGAGGATGGCCGCTCATATCCGCGGACTATGAATTGTTGCCTCAAGCGAAGGGTGACGATCTGGTGAGGAATGTCAGGGAGGCGTATCGGTATGTGAGGGAGGAGTTGGGGGGTGTTGTTTGTGGGGAGGTGAAAGAGGAGGTGTGGGGGGGAATTGTTGGGGGGAGTAGTGCTGGTATGTCTTTTTTTTTTTGAATGGAATGGAATGAAGAGTGTGATACTGATTCGCTTTTTGTCTGGATTATTAGGGGAATATTTAACCTTCCTAGCTGGACACTATCTAGATCCTAAACCGATAGCGTTGATCAGCTACTACGCACCAGGGAACACCCTCTCCCCTTTCTTCTCGTCTCACCATCTTCTTGGTCCTTCGCCCATTCCTCACTCACAGATCAAATATTTCCTCGACGAACCGGCCACTTGTGGTGATACACCGAAGGAGACATGATTTGATCCCGCGGCTTTGAAAGGAAATGGTGAGGTGGATGAAAAGGATGAGTGGCCGAACGTAGAACAGGAAACAGATTGGTCTGCTCATCGCTCAGTTTTATACGCTTATTTCTTGCAGGAGAATTCGTTCCCGGAGATACTGAATGATCTGGATGTCCCGTTTAGTGATGAGAGGTGGAGGGAGGGGTATCCTGAGACGGTGGTGGTTCATGGGATGGAGGATCGGATTATACCGATTGAGTTATGGAAGGAGGTTGTTGGGGCTATTGGTTAGTGCCTTTTTTGGAATCAGTTTTATTTTTTATGTTGAATTAAGGGGTCTGTTTGCTATGAAAATTGGACTCACGGCTATACATAATTGATGTGTGATGTACTAATTTGACGGGAGTTAGGCGAGAGAGCAAGGCTTTTCACTGTTGAAGGGGCGGAGCATGGATTCGATTCTCTACCAAGAAAGTTGTTTCTAGGAGACCCAAAGCTGCGGGTTGTCGAAAGGGCTTGGGCGGAGTTGGATGGTATTTTGAAGTTGAAGTTTGAGGAGGAGAATTTGGCGGTATGATATTCAAAAGTTGCAGAGGAAACTTGATAGTTATTTCGCCTAGAATCTCGCCTGGACTTAGAGAGGGAGGAGGTATTTATTAAGGCGGCTTCTACGATATTTTTAGGCAATCGCACAATAGCTCTGAAAGCAAAGTCCCACCAAAAATTCATATCAATGTTATTTATTCATAAAAAACTACGTTGAGGAAGGTTCAGGCTACGCCAGGGATTTCATAAATGGCTTAAGAATTCTGGATTCTTTCTCTCGAGTTCCACAAATCTTCTCGATCAACAAAACTCAACTCTTCAATCTGAATAGCGCAAACCGCTCTTCCATCCCGAACCAACTTCCTACAACCCTCTACTCCCTATACAACCCAACCTTCGTCCCATTCTGACTACTAGCCGTAATCTTAAACTCCTCAACCCACTCCTCAACCGGATCCCGACATTCAACCGTCCTAAACTCCTGCGTCATCCTCGCTAAAACATAAGCGACTTCCGTCAAAGCCAATTGACGTCCGGGACAAATCCTCGGTCCACCCCCAAAAGGAAGATACTCCCACCCAGGCCTCACAGTCTCCCACCTCTCTGGTCGAAAAGCCTCTGGATAGGGCTGGAAACAAGGTGCGAGATGGTGGAGTGCGTGGAAAGAGGTGGTGACCGTTGAGTCCTTTGGGATGAAAATTGGAGAATCGCCGTTGGGACCGCCGCCTGTGGGGAGCATGGTGTCCTGCTTTGCTCGACGGGAATCGAGGGGTGCGACGGGGTGGAGACGGAGGGCTGGGTTATTAGTTAAGTATTTCGCTGAGTATGTGTGGAGGACGACTTACTTTCTTTGACGACATATTGAAGATAGTATAAATTCTTCAAAGACTCGAATGTGAAATTCCCACCAGACTGTTCGACTTCTCGGTGGGGCTTTTCCCATTTATCGGGGTGACGACAGAGGTGGAACAGAGCATGGCCGATAGTGATGGCGCTAGAATCGTGTCCAGCGACGAAAACGTGTATGATTTGATTCCTCAAATCGTCTCGGTTATCAGTTTCCTTGGCCATTTCTTGTAACAGAATATATCTCTTATCATCCTCATCATCCTCCTTCTATTTCTCCTCCCCATTCTTATTTTGTGCCGCTTGGGAAGCGAGACATACCTTGCGAAACTCAAGGGCTTTATCAACATACTTCTCCGCAAAAGCATGAGCGATTTTGATAGAATCCCACCACTTCTTATCACGATGCAAAAACCGCAAAGCATGTTATTGAATTTTCTTCCCCATTCCCTGTTGGGCATAATGAAATGCCTTCAAAAACTCCCGAGTTTGAAACGGTGTCTCGGGGTCAAGTGTATTCATCGACTCTCCAAACAGAAACTCCGTCACACACAACTTTTTCGAGGAAAAACTTTCTTCGAATTCCATCAATCCCGCTCAACCAAACGATAGCAGCTAGAATTTCAACCA